ACAAAGAATTTCAGCGAGGCGTGCGCTATCACGTGTTCCCCTTTTGTCATCGCACGAGAAGGGTTGCTGCTGCAGTAAGCATTGAAACAATAAGATAGCTCATTATTCAAATCTTACCTTTAACCAGGTCATCGTTGGTTCAAATGAACCTTTGGCTTATCAAATGTTCAGATTAACGTACCTCATATCCTTTAACAGACTTATTTAGCCATCACAATCAATCCCCCCATTTTGGTGGATTTTGTGGGACTTGGTCCAGAAGGCCTGGCGTGCCTAAATACTGATGGAGTATGATGGACTTGGGCCTAATGGCCTGAAGCAGTGCTAGGGGTATCCGATTGATTTTGCCTAGCTTCCTGTACAGCTATTGTGATAAAAGCCACATGTAGCAAGTCCATGATTGTCAACCAGTGCGTCAGTGGTGGATTCCATTATGTCATGTACAGTTTTGTATTAGACGCACAGTGATTGATGGATTTTGATGGAATTGGTCCAGTTCCTATAAAAAGACTCTAGGGAGTTAGGGTTAGCTAAAGAACCCCCAGGAATAGGAAATGTGTGTTTTCGGATCATTAAACCTTCAGCGTAATAAGCCTTCGCACTATCGAATAGACCCTGCTACAACTACGAGCGGACCCTGCTACAACTACGTAAGTAGAGGCATCAATCTGGGACTGACAGCAGGCTGTTTGCCAACTACTCAAGATCCTTCATGCCCTATTGCTGATCGACTTATTGAGCAGAGTAATTCTCATTTGTTCAGATTAATGAACAAGTTTGTTTGTAAAGTCAGCCGGCTAGTCAAGAGTACCAATCAATTATCCTGGGTAACGAAACCAGTTAGGTTTATTATGAAGACGATTATCGTGATGGGTGAGCACTTTTTTTTCAGAGACAAAAATGGAAAATTAGATACAAAAAGAAATTCATAAACTTGTGCTCCTTTGTTCAGCTTTTGAAAATGGAATATACTCTATCTTCTAATATGTAGAAAAGTTGTAGGCCAATGTTTTTTTGTCATTAAAATGACACACCGAGGATCAAATATTAAAATTGAAATAAAAAGGTTGATATAGGATGTACATGTAAATGCATCAGCAAGCTTATGGACAGCAACTGGCCATAACAGTACAACAGATTGGTGATAAGATTGTTCAGTTTGATGATAAAGGCATGGCATTTGGCACACAGTCAGAGAATGTCATGGGAAAGATATTTGGCTATCAGGCCATCGCAGATTTGTCCTTTGAAAATATATCATAGGATAACAAGAAAGTTTTCAAAATTTTCAAAATGGAGACCATTGCATATTATTCTACAATTTTTTGACAAATCTGCGATGGCTCTACAGCCAAAAAACTTGATCATGACATACTCTGACTGTCTGCCAAATGTCATGCTTTTATCATCAAATGAACAATTCCATCATATTGTGCAGCAATCTGCCACACTATAATGTAATAGCAATCGCAAAATCTGTCCATAGAGTCATAATCAAGGCAGATAATATCACACTTTTGTTGCTAGACAGCCAAAGATTGCGGCCAGCTGTAATGAAACAAAGTCGAGAAGACATCTTGTAAGTTAGCACATACAGTATTTCAGACGAAAGGCCATACAGGAACCAGTTATGTATTACTGTAGAAATCGAGCTAATTTCAATAAATATTTTTTAAAAATGGGCCATCCAGTTTTTCTAATTCAAAGATGGTTCTCATATTTGAAAAGGGCTTAATATATGAAGTACAATGTACAATGTAGGCTCAGTCCAAAAATGTTACTCATTTTTTTGGTAAAGAATTAAACTGCTGCAAACTGCTCACCGAGTGGATTGACCTGGAATATACAAATCAAAAATATAAAAATTGCCTGATATTTGGGCCTTTATAGCAGGGCCTTCTTCAGAGGCAAATGACAGTGGATCAAGAAACAAACATGTAGGGGCCACTCAGGCATGCAGGGTTGGAAGGAGAAACACCAGATGTTAGTTACGGAGAGGGCTTTAATTGCTGGACAACGAGAGATACTCAGACAACCCGTTGTCAGGGGTAGGCCCCACATGATTGAGTACGCACAATATGTCACAAGATCTAAGAGATGTAGACTAAGAACGCCTCTTTTCTTAATGAATAACTCCAAGTATATTTAAACAGTGAAAACTCGTGTCGATGTTAATTTAAAGCAGGCTCAAGACAAAACCACACACTCATGAACTAAAGAGCGAACGACAGCGAACGAGGGAGTTGAGCTCAACAGACGTTCGAGATTCTCCACGGATATTTACCGAGAAAGTGAAATTTTACCTAAATCACCAGGCACAGGGTGGGTATTTTATACAGCTTTTATTTCAAGTTTAATGAAGTCATATGTTTTCTATTTTTGACGGTTTTCACTCCAACACCCCCTCCAAACAAGTTATATTCGATCAAACGTAACAACTGAAAATCAAATTTGAATTAAACTGAAACAATAAGAATTTCTTTTTTAATGGTAGTATCTTGAATCCAGAATGAATGACTTGTGATGACTTGTGACTGACTTGGCTAACGCAAGACAACTCTGTTGGGAAGTTTTTCATGTTAAAAATGAACACCTACAATTCAAAATGACGTAACGAAGTTGATTTCTCTTGGTTTATTTGACAGATTACAACATTGGAACACGAGGAGCTACAAAACTGATTACTGCGATGGGATTCTACAATAACTCTACGGACCAGCACTTTCATGGCTTCGTGCACGACCTTGAAAATGCAACATTCTGCGTGCAAGTGATTCTTGGCGTGACGGGAATTTTGGGGAATGCCCTTGTCTGTTTTACCATAGCAAAGGCAAAGTTTATGCACAATGTCACAAATTTTCTGATCGCGCATATGGCGGTGGCAGACATCCTTGTCTGTGCGTCCCTGGTCAGTTTTCAAAATAGATACGTCCAAGATAATATTCATGATGACGGTGCAAAACAGGAGATGTTTTGCAAATTTTTCCTCGGAAAAAGGATCATGTGGCTATCATGTGACCTTTCTTTGTTGAGTATGGTCTGCGTGACAGTGGAGCGCTACTTGGGTATAGTCCATCCGTTAAAATACCCCCGCCTTGTCACGAAGACAAGGGTTGGAATCACAATTGCGGTGGTCTGGAGTATCGCAATAATGGTCAACATACCTCAACTGGCAGCGCAGGCTTTCAACAGCGACATGAATCGGTGTTTAATGTTCGGCCTATCTGAGACAATACTGTTCTATTTCGTGGCTTTGCTTGAGTTTTGCGTGCCAGCTGCAATTCTTCTTTGGTGCTATAGAAAGATATTGATCAATTTGCAGAAATCTGCCGAAAATCAGCAACGAGACAACAATCATGCACCCGCCAACGAGCTATTGACGGCACGTCGAAGAGTCATCAAAGTCCTCTTGATCGTCGCGTTGCTCTACCTTGTCGTCTGGGTACCCGTTCACATTTTCTGCTTGGTTGTGCTCTTTGACAATAACCTGCCTTCCACGGCATTCGACATTTTGATTGTGTTGGAGCCGACTATAGCCTCGGTCAACTCGGTGGTCAATCCGTTCGTCTACGCATTCAAGTACAAAGAATTTCAGCGAGGCGTGCGCTATCACGTGTTCCCCTTTTGTCATCGCACGAGAAGGGTTGCTGCTGCAGTACGCATTGAAATGATAAGATAGCTCACTGTTTATGTTAAGGTACCCAGAATAATGGAGCAAAAATGAGACAACGATGCAAGAAAAAGTTATTGATATTTCAAGTTAACCCCAGCGCCCCTTCCCCTTCGCAATGTCCTTCTGTGCCAATAAATGCTTGCTCGAAGGAAGTCGTCGCACGAGAAGGGTTGCTGCTGCAGTACGTATTGAAAGGATGAGATAGCGTGCTCTAGTAACCAGGAGGTTGTTGGTTCAAGTCCCATTCAAGCAATCTTGTAATGTGCCTCATTAGCTTCAGATAGCACTGAATACACACAACTTCACACAAATTATCCAGTGTGCTTGTTCATGGTGTAAATCGAGAACACACACGTGCAACATCATCGATGCATTGAGGACCAAATCGAGGACGACCTCGATTAGAAAATGTGTGCAAATCTAACGAAAGCTATTGCAAATAAAAGAATATAAACAAAGGAAAACGGAAGAGGAACAATAGAAAATCCTTGATTTACACCAAAACAAATGTATGCATTCATAAAGTATATGTTGGTGTCGGGCAAAACACAATGTATAAGGGAATAATTATGTGCTTGGCCAGTTTTAAAATGTATGAAACTGGCCTGGACGCGACGATAAAAATGTGCGACTATGTGTAAATTGTTTGAAGTCATTCATATGCGTATGTGTAAATTAGGCTTGCTGTTTGCATTTAATTGTAATATCTACTAGTACATCTGCTTTGGAAGTGGCATATTTCTAAAAAAAAAAATGTTCATCAAAAATTTTGAAATATTTTACAGAAAATTATTCATTTTTTTCTTTGCGAAGCTACATCTTTCCACACATTGGTAGAAAAATACAATAGCGCATTTATATTTGGACTATTCTGCTAATAAATGTTAGTGGTTTACAACTATAGGCCTTTCTTTTGTTTGTAAACATTGGTGCCATTTTGTATGGGCTGCCGTAAGCGCATAAATTGAAGCCGTGGTTGGCAACATATTTTTCCAAAAAAGTCCTCATAACGCCATCAACACATAGTAAAAAGGCATGTGTAGGAATTATTTTGTAGTTATGTTGAAAATGTTGTATTTTCAAGTATCAAATAATATTTTGGTTATCTCTAATGACTCTTCTTCATTTTTGCAGTGTTGGACCTTCCATAGTTTTGCAGGCCGTAGTTGGCAAAAATGCAGTTTGCCAACCAAGCGCAGAAAGGTCTATATACTTTGCTTTATAACTGCCCTGGCAATCCATATTTGTTCAATCAGTCCCATCATGCATTGCAGGAAGTGGTGCATGATGGGAATGGGGAGGGGGCGATAAGTAAGGTCAGGCCTACCTGTGCCGAGTTAAACTGGTGTCCAAGAGCTTGTATGAATTGCAGCATCGTGTGTTTGTGAGGGTTACCAGTCCCGTCGATCACATTGCTAGATGACTGAATCTTTTGAGGAAAAAAAGGGAAAAACATAAAAAAAAAAGCCACATTTAAAGGCCTGTTCATGTACATGTAATCTGCCTGTCAACTTTTGAAAATTTTTAACCAAGTACTTACGATGTCTGAAATTTACATTCTTGGAAAATTTTGTGTTGAGTATAAATGAGCCTAAACTTTGGCACAATGTTCTCCTATTCTTGGAGAAAAAAAAGTAGATAAATTGTTGCTTTTGCATTATAAAACAAGCCTAAATGTAGAAATTGTCAAGTCTAGTTTTGCATTAAACTGGTTATACAATTTTAATGATAAAGGTTTAATAAAAAATATACTAGATACTCACAAGACAAACTTCTTTTTTATCCGTAATTTTTACAACATTTCAGCTGAATGTGATACAATAAAAACCATCTTACCGGCACACTGAGCCAAAGAACATATTTTTTTATCAGACTTTTTACCAAAACGAGTAAATCTGCCCACCTGACTATCCAAGATGGCGGACACCTCTCCAAGCTTAAAGACCAGTCTTGTCAGTTCTTGCATCGGGGTACTAGACTGGGGGCTCTGGAGACCGCAGCGTAGCCAGGCGTGGACGAGGGACGACGCCCACTGGGCGGGGCCAATAGCTGCTTGGAGTTGCTCAGTGAAGGAGTGGTTTGGTAGAAGGTGGCACAGATAGCGTACTGTAATACTGTACATCAAACAAGAACATTACAAATATCGACATCCCACTGCTGCCACCGATTGTAACTGATGGTTTTATATCATAGGCGGTATTTGACTATACCAGTTCTAGAGTCATGATTCCTAGTTCATCAACAGGAGAGACGTAAAATTGGACTATACAAAATGATGTCTCCACATAGGTAGCTAGAACGGGCAGAAGAACAGTACAAGTGATCCGCGAATAGTGTGTGTCGCTTTTTTCTGCATTCGATTCCTATATGTTGTGTGTTCTGAAAAAAGGTAAATTTTGTACATTTGTAAACAACCTCAAATGATCCATAACCTTTGACCTTCATTTTTTGAAGACTTGTGATGAACCCCCACCCAAGGATCTCTTCATCCAAAAATCCATCAAATTCTGTAGAAAACGAAACATTTGAAGCCAATTTGAACAAGGACCTCTAAAGACCCTGAATGACCTTTGACCTAAGTAATCCGATAAGAAATTGCATCTTCCCACCCAAGGGTCACTGTGTCCAAGTTTCATCAAAATCCATGAAAGCATACAGAAGTTATACATTATTTCCATAACTTGAACATACAGGTCTACGGTCATTTTTACAGAATTTAGGACTGGTGTCTCCCAAAACTTTGTTGCAAAATATCGTGTGCTTCGCAGCGCTATGAAATTTGGCCGATGTTTTAAGTTTTCAATAAGTTTTGGAGCTAAACGAGAAAGTGTTTTTGTAATAAAAGCAAAACCAGTTACATTCATTGCATTGCTAGTTTGACAGATAGAATTTCTTGTCCTAACAGACATATAAGGCCATGTAAATTACGTCTTTGTGAGGAAACTTTTCAAAGGTCTCGCCAGAATGGAGACAAAAACAGATTTTAAAAACATGGCAAGATATGAAGAAACAAGTGGAAAGGATGGTCAGATGAAACAGACTATTACCTATGATGAACTTTGTGGTCGTCTAAGCCGTAGAAACGGAACAACTCCTGGGGAGTTGTCTGCCCGGATCCTGAGCCTTCATTGTGCAACTTGCTGTCAATGCAAAAATGAAAAAAAAAACACAAAAAAAACCTTTAATATTGACGTAAATAATTTCTGTGAATACATGTACAGTTTGTTTCAGAAAAAGCGGGCCCGTACAAATCAGCGGCCATGTCTAAACAAATATTCATGCAAGACTAAATTTTATTGGCATTTTTTTCATGCTGTTGTACCAGGTTGTTTATTGCATGTGGAAAAAAAATTAATTGATTGAAAACTTTTAGAGCCATGACTAGAAACGTAAGAGCTCCATAAAAATCGAAATTCACACTTTTTGCCGCATTAGCTTGTGCTGGTATATTAGTGGAGAGAGAGACCACGAACCTGTATCTCACACAAACACATTTGACTTAACAAGAGCCGCCTACATGTATTCGAGGGGCATTATTTAATTTTATCAGAATCAGATTCTATTTACGACCATTACAAAAAAATGTGTTCGGAGATAAAGACATAGTCTCTTTTTGTTTGCATGTAAATTTATGGAGCTCTTACGTTTCTAGTCATGGCTTTAACATTTTTTTAATCAGTGCAGTTTATTTTTTCCACAGGCAATAAACAACATTAACAGCATGAAAAAAAAAGAAAAAGTTATTTTATTTTCTTAGATATGGCCGCTGATTTGTACGGGCCCACTTTTTCGGGGACACACTGTAGATCTTCATGTTGTTTACATTTCATTTTCATAACTTCCAAATGAAGTTGCATGTAATTCCATAATCAGTCACATACGGTTATCATAATAATAATAAAAGTGGATATTTATAAAGTGCACGTATCCACCAGGTACTGGCGCTCACGGCGCTACATCATTATTACCCCTGCTCATTGGGCCCATGAAACATTCCAAATACCATATCAGCTCCCTGGGGAGTATACAGCTCGATGCAGCCTGTTAGGCACAAGGAAGCTAATTCAATCACAATAACCATCTCTGCCCTCACAGGTACCCATTTACTCCTGGGTGAGGAGACACATTGAGTGACACAGAACCTTGCCCAAGGGCACACGCACCATAACCCCAGGCTGGACTCGAACCCCCAACCTGCAGCTTTACCCGCAGACCACGAATCCAATACATGCCCTTATTAACCACGAGGTCACAGCACTCCACGGTAGTACTTACAGGTCCGCAGCCAGCAGAGTAAAACTGGTGGCAACGTCGGCCAATTCTGAAGGTGGAGTCTGAGTGGAGGCGTGTCTCTTGATGAAAGGGTGAATCCGATCCCAAAGAATCCTGGCAAAAGCTGAAACCCAAATTAAAAAAATGGTACCAAAATTTGCATGCAACTACAAAGCAAACAAATCAAGCTGCAATAGAAGGGGACGACTCAGGGTGGCGCAGTGGCATATCCTCGCCTTCCACCTGGGCTCGTCTCGATTCGTATCCAGAATGAGTTCTCGGAACAAGTTGCGGACACTGTAACGGGTATAGTTGTAGAATTCTGAACAACTTCCCCGTAATCGTCCGCAATCTTGTTATCAGTGTTGGCGAGTCAAGTAACTGACAATGAAAATTTCCCCAGAACATGTCCGGGACAAATGTAGAGCTTCTTCCGGGCAAAGTGAAAGATTCTACCCGCAACTTTTCCGGAACTCGCCCCGGACATAAATTAAGATGGGCCCTCACAGCGCCATAGCACTTTTGGAGAATCCTTGGTTTAGTTTTACCATACAGAATTAAAATAAGAATGAAATCAAATACAAACCTTGGTATTTATGCATAAGCATCTCTGGGCCTGGAGATGTGTCAGATTTTGCAGTTGAAGCCGGCCTCTGCATCAACACTTGCTGGTACAAAATTCTGCCAACAACAGGGTTTCAAAAAAACATACCAGAGTGATACCCAAATCATCCATAATAATAATAATAATAATAAAATTGCATTTATTATGTGCATATACCATAAAATGTTCAAATGCGCATTACAAAATTTGAACAGTAGCTAAAATATTAAAAATACGAATTTGAATTAAACATTAGTCTTAAATGTAAAAAACACTAGATATTTTAGAAAACACTGTCAAAACAATGAAACTTAAAATTACAAAAACAAGACCTACATTTAAAATAGATTATAGTAAAACCTTATACGAATGCCTTTGTAAAAAGAAAAATCTTAAGCTTAGTCTTAAAAACTGTTAGAGACTGAACAGACTGAATTTCAGGCGGTAGCTGGTTCCATAAGCTGGGAGCGGCTTGTGCAAATGCACGATCCCCCATAGTCTTTTGCATTCTCCCAGATGGATAATCTAAAAGCAAGTGCCCATTGGATCGCAGGGAATACTTGGAATGGACCTTAACTTTCAACATATCTATAATGTATCTGGGAGCAAGATCATAACATCCAAAGAACTTACATGAATTTACTGTTTACTGGTGAAGCAAATGGCAAAAGTTTTTTGTCGAAAACACAAGGCACTAACATTACACACAGACAGCAGTAAACACAATCCTTTTAACAAAATTAATGCACACACGATACAGAGGATAATTTATTTGCATTTAAGAGAATGTACCTATGTACCTTGTTCATTGCAAGGCTACACTTCAAATAAGATGACAAATTTGATTCATCAATAACAATGAACGTCAGGAGTACGTGCAAGGGAGCAGTTAATGAATAAAACGACTTGAAAGATTACATTTTGCAATCAACTTTGGGACCATTTATCGCAATGGGACGTCTGCAGGCATTATGTATACTCTGTTCCCATGGTAGTACACAAATACAGCACGGTTTGAGGGGAAGATGTGGGAATTACTGGTCCCGAGGTGTAGGTCAGCTTGACTTCGCGTCGGGAAGTAGTCAAGCTGACCTACACCGAGGGACCAGTAATTCCAACCAATTTGGAAAAATAAACCATGTTGTATTTGTTGCGCCTCATAAATATTCAGTACATGTAGATGTACTAAATTGGAGGAGATTGGAGGGGGACACTGCAAGGAATGGTTTGAGGTGCTGGCATTTTTATTTCCTTGTAACCCTTCTATGCAAACATATATTTTGTGCCAAGATGTCCTTTCAGTCAAAATCAATCAAGTGAATGTTTTCAACAGTTAAGAGCTCCCAGCCCACATAAAGCAGGATTGACTGGCTGGGACTGTTTGATACAGCTATGCTTTGACTATAGGTGATTGATAAGACAACTGTGCCTACCAGTTGCCTGATTTTGTCTGTTGACTAAATTTGACTCATCAGAGTGCTTGCTTGAAATATGAGCTGACTGTTGGTGACTAGCCTGTGTAAAAAGCTTGGCAGGGGAAGTGGATGGATTTTTGACAGTCTGTGACTGTTCAAACAGTAGGAGGGTTATAGGGAAAAAAGAGGGGGGGGATGTTACCTAAGGGTAAGTTGCAGCCCTACTGACTGACAAATCCAGATTAAATGCACGTCTGTTCTAATTTGGTTATATGTACCTGTGTCTGGCCATGATTGTCTGGAGAAAGGTCAATAGCGCTCGCATCTCATGTTCGGAAGAAACTTCCAGAAGATTGCTCAAACCAGATCCTACATTCAATCGCACATATTAAATACAATTAAGACAAAAATACACTAGACAGACTGCAGGACAAACCTGTATTTTTATCAAGTTTTTATATGATAAAAAAAGACTCAATATCATGGAAGTTGTCTTATCTTAGGATGCATCTTAGGACTTGAGAGGAATCCCCGATCTAAGATCGAGCCTAGCTAAGATTCATCCTAAGACTGAGTGCACTAAACGCATCTCTGGCAAGACACATTGGAAATACAGTTAAAGGAATTGTTATTTACTGGTCGAGGACAAAATTGCCAATTTGAGGGATGTATCATGCCTGCTTTTTACCACTGGATGAAATGGCCACTGACAAGAAATACAGCCTGTCTAAAAAAAAATTGTACAATCGAAAACGATTTTTTTTCAATATTAAATCTCAACATAAGTAAGTCGTTTTGAGCATCACATTAAAGAAAAAAGACCAGGCTTTCCAATACTTTTTGTTTCATCTCATTTGCTTTTGTCAATCCAGAGATAACTCCAGTTTACTGCGGAACACAAAAATCGAGTTTTTTTTTTTTTGCCAAGTTGCAATCTTTTGTGAGCTTCAAGACATGGCACAGTACTCGAAACAACTCTGCCCATGCATAAAAGTGGCACAAAATCGATTTTGGTGTATCGCACTAAATTGATTATATCTCTGAATTGACAAAAGCAAATAAGATCAAACAAACACTATTGGAAAGCCCAGTCTTTGTTCTTTAATATTATGCCAAGTAAGAATGACTTATTTTGAATTTCATATTTAACCAATTTTTGTTCCGATTGTACCATTTTTTTGAGACAGGCTGTAGTGCCAGAAAATCAAAGTCGCAAAAATCTCAAAGTGCACCATGATAGGGGATGTGCCATGAACAATAAAGAAAAGCTCTACAGCTTTGGAATACAGTTGAAAGATCAAGATTGTAATCGACAGCTGAGTTGATCGAAAGCATGTCACATGACGAAAACTCACCAATGAGCTTCTCTTCAGAGAGATGCAGCTTGTTACTCGCATCAAACACCTCCTGTGTTGCTTCGATGTAGCTCAGGACCAAGGCCCATAGCTGACTCTTCCGCCCGCTGTCAACGGACTTGCTGCTCATTTCCCTGTGACATTTAAAAAAAGGAAAATCAGTAAGATAATGACAAACACATATACAAACTTATCCAGAAAAAACAAACTAGGTATTTTGTACAAAAGTATTCCCTCCATGGTAAAAAAATGTAGAATAAAGTGATTATGATTTGACTTGTGATTGAATTGGAATTGACTTGTGATTGCCATGAGATTGAGGTGTATTGAATTTTGATGGACTTGTGATGGACTTGTGATGGACTTGGGATTGACTTGTGATTGACTTGTGATTGACTTGTGATGGACTTGGGATTGACTTGGGATTGACTTGTGATTGACTTGTGATTGGCTTGTGATTGACTTGGGATTGACTTGGGATTGACTTGAGATTGACTTGAGATTGACCTGGGCTTGACTTGGAATTGACTTGGGGTTGACTTGGTATTGACTTGTAATTGACTTGTAATTGACTTGTGATTGACATGTAATTGAACTGGGATTGACTTGGGATTGACTTGGGATTAACTTGTGATTGATTGGGATTGACTTGGGATTGACTTGGGCTTGACTAGTGATGACTTGTGATTGACTTGTGATTGACTTGGGATTGACTTGTAATTGACTTGTGATTGACATGTGATTAACTGGGATTGACTTGGGATAGACTTGGGCTTGACTAGTGATGACTTGTGATGACTTGTGATTGATGTGGGATTGACTTTTGATCGACTTGTGATTGGCTTGTGATTGGCTTGGAATTGACTTGGGATTGACTTGTGATTGGCTTGTGTTGAATGGCGATAGACTGGTTGAATTTCATTGCTAAACTGAACTGTACTTACATGCAGACTGTGTTGAATCCCTGAACAAGTCTATCAGCCACAACCGCCAGGTCACATGACTGATCCTCGTGAATCAAACATAATGTGAACAAACCTAGGAACACAAGAAAATAAAATCATTAAAGGCTAGAAAAAATATACAATATGTAAGTGAATGACTGACAAAAAATGTTTTTCAAACACTGCTCAACGTACGTATTGCAACAGACGTTGACACAATCATCATTACGACATGTGCATAAATGACAATCCAGGATTACAACAAATATGGCAATTTTCATTGAACATCATGCTTTAAAACACAAACTTCCAAAATTCCAAATACGAAAGTAAGACAATACAGACCTCTCCAAATAAGCATGAGTTTTCCATGAGTGAGAGTGTCAGTCGGAAGTAAATCAAGAAAGTCCAGCACACGGCTAGTCTGGAAAGGAACAAATGTCAATTCAAGTAAAAGTAAGGAAAACATTTTCGGCTATTTTCAATTATTAATCCCTTGAGTGCTTTACTAGGAACCTTCCTCACTCTTGCAAATTCCAACACCATATGGTAAACTCTACACCCAAACTGTTGGACTCTGATTATGGTGGTATGCCTGACCCCATGTAAAGCATAATCAGTTTACTAGTGAAGCATTCACTCCAACAGATTCCAACAAAACATGCAGTTGGATTTTGAAGGGTTGGGGGTGGTTAGGGTTGAAATGCGACATAATTACAATATATAGCACGTTATAGCAAACTCTAAAAAATGCTTTACAGTTATAACCCCTGTTCATCAGACCATAAGAACAGTTTTCTGCAGCAGCTCAAGTCAGCACAATCTGGTCTCTACCCTCACAGGTACAATGTACCCATTTATACCAGGGGTGTGAGTGGAGTCAAAAAAAAATAGCTGAAAATAGCTGAACCTGTAAATAACCGAACCTGCGAGCGCGAAGAGCGAAGCCCTTACGGCGTGGGGTCCGGGGCCCGCCCAAGGGCCCCGGAAAAAAATTGAAATGTAGATGCTCTGTGGTGCATTTTAAAAGCCTCCTGGCATGCCTGGGCCAACTATTGGTCGAAAATGTTTTGCAATTTATGCAAGTTTTTAAGTTAACTTTTCCTTCATATTGGCTTGAAACTGCCTACCTAAAGTTGTATACGAAATCTGGGAAATTCGACCACGTTTTCCATATTTTAACTCCTTACTGCATGTACTGCACATCGTCATCGCGTGTTCCGGCTTCTGATCGAGTCGCCTAATTTCTGCCCATTAACCATGTGTTCCATCCAAATCCATTTCCACGGATTCGTAACCTGAGGATCGGTCTTGTCAATGTCCGTATCAAACTCCGAACCTCTTTGGATAATAACACATTTGTGTTGCACTGACATCTTGCGGAATTAATAATGTCAAAATACGTTCGAAACATTTGAAACGATACACTAACGTACGTATCAGCATGCAGCGAAATACATGCACGCACACATGAACTTTGCCCCGCATGATGCCCTCTACCGGCGCGGCACGGCGACAATTTACTAGTCTTATTTCAAGGCTTTATATTTGCAACAAGACGATGTTTACAGCGAGTTATTGTGGAGATCATCGCGTGTCACTACATGCATAGACACAGGAACGGCCGCAAAGAGTCCCAACGCGCTTCATGGCGCATGTGTGAATATTCATATTTATCTGCAGCCAATCACAGCGCAATGACTGTTCGTTCCCTGGATGCTGTTTACACGTTGTTTACACACGCGGCTTCGAGCTGAAAATGCATGCACATGGCATCGTATAGTACACACGTACGTACATGTACGTATGTACAATGTACATGTACATGTACATGTACATTGAATACTCGCTTGCATGCACCCCATCCCAGAGCTACGTGTATGTTGTAGAGAGCGGATCGCGTGCGTTCGGCGGCGGCGGAAAATAAAATAAACGGAAATAAAATCAATGCTTACGCGCGGGGAAAAAGCGGGGAAAAATCTGGACCATCGGAAGAAAATAAGCGGAAAACAAAATGTGGCACGCTGAACAAAAAAGCGGAAATCCGCTAAATAGCGGAGATTTCACACCCCTGTTATACTCCTGGGTCTTCCTGAGAAAGGCGATTGTGATAAAGTGTCTTGCCTAAGAACACAAACAAGAAACCAAAATCTAGTCTGTACCCCCACAGGTACCCATTTATACTCCTGGGTCTTCTGGACAGAGGCAGTTGTAGAAAAGTGTCTTGCCCAAGACCACAAACAAGAAACCAAAATCTGGTCTCTACCCTCACAGGTACCCATTTATACTCCTGGGTCTCCCAGAGAAAGGCGATTGTAGTAAAGTGTCTTGCCCAAGAACACAAACAAAAACACAAAATCTAGTCTCTACCCTCACAGGTACCCATTTATACTCATGGGTCTCCCGGACAGAGGCAATTGTAGAAGAGTGTCTTGCCCAAGAACACAAACAAGAATGCAAAACCTAGTCTCTACCCTCACAGGTACCCACTTATACAGAGGCGATTGTGGTACAGTGTCCTGCCAAGGAACATAAACACCATGTTTCCAGACAGGTTAGGGCCCACAAACAACTAAACAAATGCCGAGCTTTTAGGCAATTCAGATTTAAGATTAACGTAAGAACCAAACTAACAAGAGTGCAATATTATGGAAAATCTTCTTCACTACTCACCGCATCTGAGAGGTCAGTCACGAGGGCAAAGGTCAGGAACAGACTCAGGAAGCGGCTCAGACCGGTCTCATCCAGTTCCTTCATGCTGCGGCCGTGAAACTTGGAGTAGAACCGCCCCTGCAGCTGCTTCCAACCCTGGGCAGCGCCAGTCTCCTTCATGTGCTTCAGCTGCGTCGCTAGGATGCGTAGGAACAGGTCAAAACTGTTGTCGTGGTGATGACTATTTCCAAGAGAAAACGTTTAGTTGTATTGACTCCGTGCGCGAATAACAGAGGGAGCTTTTTGACCGTTTCTTACGGTTGAAGGTTCACTTGTGTACGAAACCCATAGATTACTTTTATTTTCCTGTTTTTTTACCAATTAAATTTTCTTTTAAATATTGGGTTAAATCCAAGCACTCAATCGAAATTTGAAGTAAATTCTATTCCATTTCTTTGACATTTGCGTGAAAAAAGTTTAGTGATAATACTTAACGCTCGCATGTAATTTTGCACACCCCTCTATGAGATAGTTACAATAGCAATGACAGTTACCAAGGACTTGGAGAAACTTGATCGGTCGAAAAATCTGGAAATATATTTTGTCTGGTATTTCTAAATTGAGATTAATTTTGTAACAAACCTTGCAGTATGATCAGCTACCCTCTCTTTGCAGTGCTCGTACCAAGAGTGTGGAGTTTGGCTGTAAAAAACAAAAAAATCACAACATCGACAACTGTAATATTTCAAAGGTTCATTGATATACCGAAATGAGGAGCTAAAGTAGAACCCGATCTTATCTTGTTATACGTAGCCAACAAAGTGTTTTCTGTATTATTTAATAAATTTGTATCATTTCACTTACATGTTCTACTCCAAAGTTTCACGGCCGCAGCATGAACCCTAGTCCTACATGTAGTTGATAATAATTCAACCAACGCACAACTCTACTCACATAGGCCCACGGTTCGCGGCCAGGAATCGAACCAGGACCACAGAGGTGAGAGGCGAGCGCTTTACGCACAAGCCACCCATGATAGAAGTTGGTATGAAAAACCTACCAAATTGTAGCAAGACTTCTCACACCTTGCCCTGGAACAATCAACTTCTTATTCTGCAAAAACAAAATCCAGAAATACCTTCAATCCACCTTTAATATAGACCATTATCATGTTGCGGCCATCTTGATTTTTTTCCCACTCAAATCAACGTAACCATTTGAAGCGAGGCTGGAAGGAAAAATAGTCTGGTTCCTTTTTGCACAATAAACATTATCATTCAGTACTGTTATTGGATACAGGGAACATGACTAAAATGGTGGCAGCATAATAAAGGTCTATTGTTTTCAAATGAAACAGTGACTACAGTTTCAGCTATCGAATTGAACATGTGCAGCAAAAAAACCCAGCTATTAAAATCAGAATAACTTCCAAACAGCTGGTAAAACAGACTAAATAGCTATACAAATTTGCGTTCTTATTAAACAATTAGTGCTGGTCTCAGAGGGCTAGTCTAGTACCTATCTTACTCGCTGACTGACTGACTCAATTGACTGTCAAATGTGACTCAGACTCGTTGTAGGCTGGTGAAGAGAGTCGGGCAGTGCTATCATATAGGATTACCCTGCAACACCAATGAAAGAGCCAAATCTGGCCCATTGTGTCCACCAGATGCATGAAAACACCAGTGATATCTACTCTTGATCAATGGGAGACTTTTGAGACATTGGTGGCAGCAAACAGACCGGTCCTTTTCAATTGTGTACGTCATGTTTTACGCGAAAGCGCGCTTGCTCAATATAATGAAAAACAATGGAAAAAGGACCGATGTTGTTTGCTGCCACCGTCTTAAATGTCTCCCACTGAATAGAATTGAGTGCGCTCTGGGACCAGCTTTACTAGGCTCGCCTTGTCTTGCTTTAACGGCTTGACAACAAAACCCTCTTACCAGTCTCTTGTGAAAGTGTCCCCAGAGTAGGGTCAGAACAGACCCCTTGGGTTCCCAGAGGTGACAGAGGGCTAGGCAGGATTTCAGATAGCTCTGCATATGAGCTTCATCGGGCAAAGCGTCCTGTACGCAAGAAGTGTTAAAGTAACACAATTATTTTACATTGAATAATTTTTACATTTCATTCCAAATATATTTAGGTGTATGAAAATGACCTTATATGTTCCACTACAAAGGCAACAATGGTAGTACATTCAGTTGAATTTTAGTAAGATAAATAAATTAGTTGACATCGATCAAAATTATTTTGTAAAAATAATTTCGGCCTTGTCTGAAATTGGCTTCATGCGTTACAACCTCCAAAGAAATGCTTCTCTGAAGTTGTGTTCATTGTTTTGAAACTTAAACAGTCCACTTACGTTTGAGGCAAACATTAATTTGAGTAAATCCTCAACAAGAAGCCAGTAACACCTGATAGGCCTTCCCTGCAACAGAATCAGAAAGGGACATAAATTTAAAGAATGCATTCTACTTATTTGAACAATGCTAACATTTGCCAATATGATGAAATAAAAGCGTTAATGACAAAAACTTGATGTGGCCAAAAATCTGGATACGACGGTTCATGGTGCGACTGACGAATTTTGGAAAATATGACAAGGTAGTACTTGTAGCATGGGGCACCGCCATTAAAAAAAAAAGTCATACCTGTTTTCCGTTCGTCAGTTGGCCGTTCTGGTTATACTGATACAGGGGTGCGATGTACTGTAACAGCCACCAGCACAGACCAATAGGATCCCTGGGTTTCGGCTGCGTGGCCGGGGTATCCGAGGGCTGTGATTGGCTGGGATTGGTGATGTCATCAAGAAGAGGGGTGAGGCACGAATGAAAGCTGCACCAGAACGACTGCAGCAAATGAACAAAATAAGGACAAACATGCCAATTTAGGCAGGGTGGTTTGGGGCGGTACAGGGAGTAACAGGCAGGGAGGTTTGGGGCAGTACAGGGAGTAACAGGCAGGGTGGTTTGGGGCAGTACAGGGAGTAACAGGCAGGGTGGTTTGGGGCAGTACAGGGAGAAACAGGCAGGGAGGTTTGGGGCAGTACAGGGAGTAACAGGCAGGGAGGTTTGGGGCAGTACAGGGAGTAACAGGCAGGGTGGTTTGGGGCGGTACAGGGAGTAACAGGCAGGGTGGTTTGGGGCAGTACAGGGAGAAACAGGCAGGGTGGTTTGGGGCAGTACAGGGAGAAACAGGCAGGGAGGTTTGGGGAAGTACAGGGAGTAACAGGCAGGGAGGTTTGGGATAGTACAGGGAGTAACAGGCAGGGTGGTTTGGGGCTGTACAGGGATTAACAGGCAGGGTGGTTAGGGGCAGTACAGGGAGTAACAGTCAGGGTGGTTTGGGACAGTGCAGGGAGTAACAGGCAGGGTGGTTTGGGGCAGTACAGGGATTAACAGGCAGGGTGGTTTGGGGCAGTACAGGGAGTAACAGGCAGGGTGGTTTGGGGCAGTACAGGGAGTAACAAGCAGGGTGGTTTCGGGCAGTACAGGGACTAACAGGCAGAATGGTTTAGATCAGTACAGGGAGTAACAGGTAGGGCGGTTTAGGGCAGTATAGGTGCTAAGAAATTCTAGAGGAACTGCAAAGGTTTGTAGTTTCAAGAAAACGCTAACAATACTCACATCAGTGGAGTACTGGTTGTGTCTGTGGTCCAGCAGTTGTATCAATGACAGCCAGAGATCCTGCAGACAACCGTCAGGGAATGGCCCATGCTGATGATGCTCACTGTATCCAAGCTGCAACCATGTTTAAAAGGAAGTTGAAAACTTCTTTGAAAAGCTATTCTGGAAAGGCATGTTCACATTGGTAAAAGAGATTTTTTTTTCAGATTTGACATAAGTAGACTTCTGTTTAAATTTTGAGAACTGTTACCTTGTTGTGCTTGACTATTGCTACATTCAACATGTCTTGAAGTAGCTCTTGTGCTTTTTCAGCTGATGATGCGATGAGCTCTTGTTCTACGACGACAACAAAATTACACACATTTCTGATATTTGCTAAACATTTGCATAATTTTAGTATCAAATTTCAGTCAATTTATGTAAGTCAGTACAGAAATATCAGAACTTTATAAAGATACATGTACAAGGTGAGTAAAAAAAAAAGCAAAACCCAAATGTCGGGACTATTGTTTTAGTGAAGTTCTGCATGTAGAACTTTCAAACTCTAGGATATGAAAGCCCAATTCATAAGCTTTCTTTTAGTATAAAAATCATTCAAATCACTCATGTACTTTTCAAGTTACGGAAAAAAACACAACCACCGTTTTAAAGTTCTGTCCACGGATCACAAGAAGGTAAGTGTTCTTTCAGCAAATCACATAGGGATGTGTGAATCGTGTTCGTTTTGCTGAAAGAACACACACCTTTTTTTGTGATCCGTGGACAGAACTTTAAAACGGTGGTTGTGTTTAAAATGTCGTAACTTGAAAAGTACATGAGTGATTTAAATGATTCTTGTACTAAACGAAAGCTTATGAATTGGGCTTTCATATCCTAGATTTTGAAAGTGTTACATGTAGAACTTCACTAAAACAATAGTCCCGACATTCTGGTTTCACTTTTTTTGACTCACCCTGTAGTTCAGAACAAATAGTAACAGTGCCCTAGTGTGGAGACCAGAATTCTCAGATTCAAGTCACTCAAATGCATTTTGAAGGAAAGCGCTAGCAAAGAACACACGCACAAAAACACTGAACGATTCCATGGTTCAACAAATTTATTGAAATCGCGTACCGATGTGACTGCATTGTTTGAAATGCAGTCACATCAGTGACTTGAATTTGTTGAACCACGGAACCGTGGTCAGAGTGTTTTTTAGTCTGTGTTCTTTGCTAGCGCTTTCTTCAAAATGGTACAATTGATATACATGAAACTTTCACAAAATACATGTATGTCCAAAATACCAGCCTATAACATACCTCATTCGTAATTGTTTTGATAATTGCTACATTTTAAATTGTTTTTCTATATTTTGGGTACAGATCATTCTGACTCACCCTGTATGTAATGCAAGTACGTTTTACAGAGAAAATTGCAACATTCTTCCCTATCATTGCTTTGAAAGAAATTAAACGAAATTACGGGAAGTTAGCAAACAAATACTGGCTGTTAATTTCATGGCTGCAGCACTACATTTTTTTCATTTGCCTCTTTCCTCCTAGAATTACATTGATGAGAGGCACTTATAATTACCTTTTAATTTAGCATGCAGAAGATGCAGAACTTGAACGATGCTCCATTGAGTGCTGAGGTTCATGTGAAGTAACAGGCTTCCAATAGAATCCTTCACAAAACAGACATTTGTAAGGCCTTTAAAGTCAGAATTTATAATATATCTTTCCAAATTTTACTAAAACATGATGAAAACAAGTGTGCGTGACTAATTCATTCAGATTGTGTTTAAACCTCTCGTGTAGAACGGGAACCGAGAACCCTGTTGAAGTAAAACCAGGCATGCAACGGGGAATTTAAAAAAAAAACAGGCAAGTCCAAAACCACACAAGATTTCGTACAATATTTTACAATTTGTAATGGCATTCATGAGAAGGAAAAAACGAGGAAATCAGCGGATCCGAGGAAACGTTGCATGCCTGTAAAACACGGATACCCGTGACCCGTAAACGAAACCTACCCCCAAAATTCAAATCCTCGTCGTTGTCTGAAGGGCGTTATAGTTTTACAGTGTAAACTGCAACTTTCACGAGCATCAACTGTTATGCTTTAAAATACGCGTAAACGTGAATCCGTTTTGTTTTCCACGTAGCCTGGTTTTCATTTTTGAAAATTCCCCACAAATGACATTCAAAAATGCTCTTTTTCATTGTCTAGGAAGTTACTAAGTAATTTGTAAAGTTGGTCGCGAGTACCCGATCCCATAATCTGGAACCAGTTCCTGACATCAGTGGTCGGGTACCGGGCAACTCTCCTTTTGTGACCATAGAGGGGGCACTTGCGCACGGGGTCTATACGGTGGTGACTATTAATACCGGTCTCATTGTTGATGTGGCACACTGCTGCAGGACGCCCGTCGGTAGCTCACTGATTCTCCCGTTGAACATGGACAGTGTCTGTAGCTCAACGACCAGCACGGATGGAAAGCTAGCCAACCTCTGGGTGTAGACCGACGGGGGTAGGGTCGCATCGGGCAGGCTGAAGCTTCTGTGAAGTCATGAATATGCAAATGAGTTACTGAGCAAACGATGACAATAAGCCGTTTGCGAATAACCTATACCCTTCGCGAGTTAAATTTGAATAATATCAGGTACACCGACTTGCTCATTATGCTTGGCACGTTTTAACTTTGAATTCTCCAGAATCAATTCGGGCGATTCACAATGCAGTGCGCCACCAAGAGTTTGCCATTGAGAGTCCATTTTTCCAAATATGGTCGACAAAATATTGCCCATTTGAATGAGTGTCAATAGACAACTTGAGCTAATTTGTTATAGGATGGGGCATAGCGTTCTGCCGCCTTACAAAAAAAACACTATATTGATAAAAAGAAAAGAAAAGGGCAAACGGATACTCGAATCATAGGTTTTCAAAAGTAATGATCAGAAAAACGAACCATTTCAAAAGTTCTGCTCTGTGAATTTTGACGACCATCTCCTACAGTACACTGGGAAAAATGAACTCTCCGTGGCAAACTCTTGGTGGCGCACTGCATTTTTGAATCGCCCGAATTGAAAAGAAGTCGGTGTGCTCTGGGACCAGCTTTATCTGGCTCGTCTTTTTTTTTTAATGGCTACAAACGATACATTGCAATACCGTTGCAGATGCCTACCTGTGAACGAAAGTCTGCACATATTGCATGAAAGTCATCACACGGCTGTGCAGTTTTTTGGCTTCGTTCACAATAGGGTCTGAAAAAAATATATATCAAAGAGAATTAAACTCTCAATCGTTATGTGTACCAATAAAGAAAGACTGTTTCAAGAAACTGATATATCTGTGGTTATTAAGAACAAATTAATTATCCCCGACACCTGATGTCACATTGGTGGTTTCGGAACACTGTGCCAAAAAATTCTGAAACGGATAACCTCAAAAATAAAAAGAAAGAGGGATATTTCTTTGGCAAGTTAAATTACCAAGTAAACCCCAGTTGCTGCCTTGGCCAAGAAGTGCTTGGATCTTGCTGATGCACTGCCTGAAATAGAGAAAGAAAAGATTAACAAGTTTTTTTGTTTTTTTTACATTTCCTCTTTTATATTATCCTTAATATTTTGTAATTTTGAAAACTTGAAATATGGACTGTCCGTGGCAAACTCTTCGTGGCGCACTGCCGCACTGCATTGTGAAATCGCCCGAATTGAATAGAATCGTGTGTCCTCTGGGCCAGTGCTAGAGACTTGTTTTTCATGGGCGTGGCTAAACTTTTATCTAGGCCTACATTGTTTATTTAGACTTGCTTTCCAGTCCTTTCACCTGGCTTGACAGAAGAGATGTGATGTTGTATCTAGCAGGGCCACCCCAGTGACGTAGGTGTGGCCAAAGAGCTCACACGTGTTGTCATGGAAACACTCCGGACTTGGGTCTTTTCCTGCAAGAATTCTAGAAGGAAAAAAAATCAGCAAAATAAATTTGTAAAAACATCAGAAATGATGATGAAACAATGGGGGAAAAAGACAATGGACAGATCAATTTTGTTTTCAAAGAAAGATATTTTTTTTAAAATCTAGACATAGAATGATTCCGTCACCTTTTAATTGCTGACACCGATGATGTGTGGCGATCCCGCACTTTGAAGCATTCAATGCAGGCAAGACACTGGACGCAATCTGTGATTGGTGATATGCAAAGTGTATCACTCGGATGAACAGCATAGAAAACAAAGTTCAGTCATGTCAGAAAGGCCGAGTAAAAAAAAAAAAATAGTTTCTCATCTGGCCTTTTTGAAAAAAAAAATGTTTGAAGCGAACGCTTAATTTTTCCTCCCCTGGTTTTGCTGGTTTTCCAAGAAAAGTGGATGGATTTTTCAATTTTCTCGACTATCATGACTATTTTGCTGATTCCATAACCCTTTCTACATAGCTACAATTTTGTTGGAAACAAGTAAAACGACACAAGAATATTGACAATATACTTGTGCAAAATATATTGCAAATGTATGAATTAAAAAAAATTAAAAAGGAGACGGCCAACCAAAAAAAGGAAGCGGGCACTGGGCAGGGATGAAAGGTTGGGATAACGCACAAACATGACAAACAACCCGATGTACCTTGTATCAAAGATTGCCCCAATCGTGGTGGCGGATCCTCGCTATCAACCTCATTGCATGGCGACAACGGGGGTGTAATTGAATATTCCAGGTCCATATCCATGATCGGGTTGATACGATTGGCAAAATCGGAGATATTTTGACAGCTATTCACCCAGTTCACAAGCCGCAGCTCGCAGTCTAGGGGTGTCGGACGCTTCGCCCCATTTCCACGTCGCCCCATGTCACTTCGCCCCTAACCACTTCGCCCCATCTCCACTTCGCCCCATCCCCACATCGCCCCATCCCCGCTTCGCCCCATCCCCACATCGCCCCATCCCCGCTTCGCCCCATCCCCACTTCGCCCCATCCCCACTTCGCCCCATGTAGTATGAAAAGGTGAAGGCTAGGGGTGCAGACCAAATAAACTGCCAAAGACCCCAGATAATAAATGCTCCCAATTCTAGAAACTTAGGAAAAATACAAATTCTCTGATGAGGTGCTCGAGACACAGATGAGAGAAATGATGGCTCTATCCCATTCACAGATGGTTCACAGATGCCTCTCCTATTGGCTTGTGAATAAAATCATCAGCCGCTGGATTCAAAAGAATCCGTAGGTATGGGTCAGTGAGTTAAAAGGAACTCACTGCCTTGAGGAAAATGTTCCGTCAAAATTTGTCTGATATGTGACGTGACTTACAACTTCATTTAGATGAGATTGGTTCCTCCAAGAGTGTAATTAGGATGTCAAAGGTATTGTTGTTCTCAGATAAGTGGGAGACGGGTTGGTATAGCCGGGGGAACAAAGTTGGATCTTTTACTTCAAGCTTTTTTCTTGGTAGGGGAGAGCCTAGCTTGAGAGGTTGGTTATGAATTGTTCATTTTAGTGATAGGCTAATTCTTTCTGTTGGTTAGCAATTAGTGAATCTGTTGAAATTGTTTTTTTAAGCCAATAAAATAGATGAGATTTTTTTTTACATGTAACGGCTGGGGCGAAGTGGGGATGGGGCGAAGTGGGGATGGGGCGAAGTGGGAATGGGGCGAAGTGGGAATGGGGCGAAGCGGAGATGGGGCGATGTGGGAGTGGGGCGAAGTGGGGATGGGGCGAAGTGGTTAGGGGCGAAGTGACATGGGGCGACGTGGAAATGGGGCGAAGTGTCCGACATTCCAGTCTAGTGATGCCCAGCGTTGAAATGGCGCGCCACTCCGTTTAGTCAGATACCCAGCCCGGTTTCATCCTGTAAAAACTATAGACGTCTGGCTAAAACCTAGAGGGCGCTTTAATCAACACACCGTTGTTTTGCAAATTCCTCGGACGGACGCGTCACGTCGACTGTACTGTCGTTGAACTGTCAACTGATGATTTGGTTTGATTTTATCCAAGGGATCGGGACAGGGGAATCTCGGTAACGCATCTAAGTTGTAAACTTAAGGGGTTTGAAGAAAAAAAAACCCACATATGTAGGCCGAGACTAGAGTAAGGACGATGACGAATTTTTCTTTGTATATAAAATTATTTGGGAATGAAGAAATTAAAATTTAATTTTAAATAAAACTGACCATGCTGACTAACGTTAGTGGGTTTTTTTTTTTAGAGTTGTAAAAAAGTTTTGGGCTGTAAATTTGCATAAGCCCTATGTTTTCATTTTTATATGGGTGCGATCGGTGGATCTGCGCATTTGGGCGCAATCGGTCGATCGCGCTGCACTAAACATGCTAAAGTATCTGTCCATCGTACTGTCATCGGTTGATGCCATGATCGAGTCTAACCCCACTGGTGCGGCAACGGTATTGTGTGCGCAGCAATTACCCCTAGAACTAGTATGGGTATTACGAGTAATATTACGAGTAAAACCCATAGTTCAGCAATACTGTGGCCGCAGGGCTACCATGAGTCGATTACCTTTTCTTTCCAATGCACAGCTCCAGAGGATTTGTTTTGAAAAAAGGGAAGTTAAGTCTGCGATTTCCTTTTGACCGATTTGCATTTGGGTCTATTTCTGCACATAGACCAGTGAATGTGGCGTTGTAAGTGCAGATCCACCTATTACGCTCTGTATAATCAAATAATCTGTTTCAATTTTATTTTAAAAAATAACCAAGACGGACAGGATTGAAGTTTATTTGGGTCGGGGTTACTTAAGTTATAGCTAAAGACGGTGATATTGGTTGATATTGTACACAGCTGAACGTCAATTCTGTTTTGTCTTTTTCAGCCAAGAATCTTGGAGCACACCTGTACGGTCATCAATTAACCATCAACCAGCTTTATATGAACTTCAGACTGTAGAAGTATTCTTTGCCTGTTGGACCTGAAACCGACTATCTGGGAAGATGAGAAGGGCACCGAAATTCTCCGAGCGAGATCTTGACGATGATTTTGAAAAATTTCTCAAGGAGGTACATATGTTATGCCCCAACTATGGCATTCGTCTCAATTGTAGTTGGGCCCGATCCAAAATATTGTCGGGATCATCCAAAATACAGTATGGACGTTCCCCTACTATTATTGGGACTGTCCACACTATAGTTGGCATGGCGAATCCCTGGGGGGGGGGGGGGGGGGGGGGGTGTAGAGGAGGAATCCTGCCCCCCCCCCCTTAGCAGGGATCAACACTTTCTCAAATATGGCAATGTTTTTCGCTTGAGAGATCCCTCCCCCCCCCCACCAGTAACCTCTCTGGATCCGCCCCTGGCTTGGCTGGAAACGACTGTTTATCTGATTCTTATGATAAATTGTACGGCATTCTGTCTTTTAAAGTCTTTGTCAGACGACTCCATGGATTCTGACAAGCTCAACAAATACTTTGCCAAGTCCAGGCGGGAGGAAGAGAAAAAGAAGAAGAAGGAGTCGCAGCCGTGGTGGATGAGTGAACAGGATGAGGACGAGGATGCAGTTGTCATGGGGACAGGGGAGGAGGACAAGACACCAACCGGTAGGATGAATCAGAGATCATCACTAGTGAATCACAACTCAGTCTTAAGTCATCACAAGTCAATCAAAGCTGAGTCACAAGTCATCAGAAGTTATCACAAGTCAGTCGCATCTGAAGTGAATCACAAGAAAATCACAGCTCAGTCACTAGTCATCACACAGATCATCACAAGTAGCCACAAATCATCACAATTTAATCACAAGTCAGTCGCAATTCAGTCACAAATAATCACAAATAATCACAATTTGGTCACAAGTGTCAATCACAGGTCAGTCAGTCAGTTGTCAATCACAAGTCAATCACAAATAATCACAAGTCGATCACAAGTCGATCACAAGTCATTCACAAGTCAGTCAGTTGTCAATCACAGGTCAATCACAAGTCAATCACAAGTCAGTCACATGTCAGTCATAAGTCAATCACAAGGCAATCACAAGTCGGTCAAAAGTCAATCATAAGTCAGTCACACAAGTTATCACAAGTCCATCAAAACTGAGTCACAAGTCATCAAATGTCAATCACTAGTAAGTCACTAGTCATCACAATTATAATCACAAGTCGTCACAAGCCATCACAAGTCAATCACAAGTCAATCACAAGTCAATCACAAGCCAGTCACAAGCCAGTCACAAGTCAGTCACAAATCATCACAAGTCATGTCACAAGCCGTTTTTAAGGCATAAGGCATATTCTTTGCCATTCGTTTGTGATTTGACTTGCGATTCATTTGCAATCTGACTTGCGATTAACTTACGAAGGTCTTTACTGCAGCTCTGGGCCGGGGTAAGGGCATTCAAAAGTAAATTTTCTAGAATGGGGGTTGAATATGCTCTCTGCAAAAAGTCCAGAGTTTTTCAAAATATGTCAAAATGTTGTTCTTTTTGTCCTCTGTAATGTCAACAGCAAGCAAATGGTTGAAGCCCAAGAAACAGTCAACTCCTGTCACAGACAAAGAAGAACCATCAGAGAGAAAGCAGAAAGATTCTACAAAGGTAAAAAAAAAAAAAAATCCCACGACGTTTTTTGTACTTCTCATTCAATGTTGAAATATCCAACCAATATAGCTTGCCCCTTTCAACTAATTTGACCTGATACTTAATTGTACAAAATAATGGTCTCTTGAATGTTTTACAGTTTTTAAAATTCATTTTGTTGATTGGTTTTGTTTAAAGGGGTATGATGGAGCAGACAGTTTCAAGAAGAAATCTCATTTCAGTAAAGACAGTTTAGAAGATTGTGAGTAGACAAATTCAACTTGAGCTCTTAAACTTCAAAAGCATATAGGATCATTTGTTTTCCTTGCATTTTGCATTAACACCACTCAAAATACACAGGGGAATGTTGAAAATCTAGCCTGTTGAAGTTTCAGCTCAGTGGATATTACACTTTTCGAGAAAAACTATGCACAACCTTTTGATCACCAAACACCATTTCGTCAGTAGCACTCTTTATTTCTCAGAAAATCAGTCAATTGCCTGATCGTTGGAAATCACCTACATTTCTTGATTTCTTCTAAATGACAGCAAGCCAGACAAAATAATTTCACGGGGTGTTTAGTACCAGTATGAACTTTAATCGAAGTAAGGTTTTTGATAATTCGGTAAGTTACTTTTGGGAAAAATGCATATGATCACAAGAGGCAGTTCTTAAACGTTCCAAGGATAGTTTAGCTCTTGCTTATGAATTTGGCACACTCTTAGCAAAAAGTATTGCAATTGTTCTAAATTGTTTTCTTTTGTGACTCCTGCATACATTTCAGTGTCCACTGTCGGTAAAAGAGATGACAAGTCAAGTCTGCCAAGGGAACGAAGGTAAGTAGATTTTTCCCACGGCGGTGTGAAACATGCGGTGGGCTTCAGCTCCTTATGTTGGTGGGTTGGTGGGTGGACACTTTACTTGGGGCTTTTTATACTCTTCCATGCTACGCGTGTATCACAGCTTTGCCAGTGAGTTTCTATGGAATACCTGCAGTTTTGTGACATGCGTCTAATTTGCATATTCGATCACGCCCCCATTGCATTGCAAAATTCACGGTTGTAGCGTTCGTGGAACCGCCGTGGGTTGTACCACTTGGTACTTGTTTTAATACAAGAATCTGATTTTTACCATCTTACATTTTTAATAAAAGTATGTTAAAGACTTTCAAAGGAAAAAAAACAGGAATTTTTTAATTCAATCAATCAACGGCCTGTTTTTACGAAGGTAAAGTTTAGGTAAGCATTTCCACCATGAAATTATCGGTACGACTGCATCTAGGAAACCCTGTTTAATTATTTGCTTTAATTCACAGTGGAGTCCTTCCATCCCAAGCCAGCTTTGAAGACACTCTGAGTTACACTGGTAAGAAGGTTCATTATAGATCTCTTTACACTCACATCGAAATGTACAAGTTACTATGCTTTATCTACAGAGTGGTCCAAAAAAAAAAGCAGATTTTTCACAATTTGGGAGACATGTTGAAATAGTTTTAAGATATTCCTAAACTAAAAGATCTTGGCGGTAAATGGTGAAAATTGCGTTCAAAATAAAGCTGAAGTTAAGAAATAGCAGCCATTGACAGAAAAGCGGTCGAAACCTAGTTTGTCCTAGTCTATGGCGATCACGAAGACCTAATTTACATTATTGCAGTTCTTTGTGCACGTAGTGCTGTTGTCTTGACCATACCTCATAAACTTGCATGTCGACAGACTCATTCTTGACGGCTTTTCTGTAAATGGCCACTATTTTCTAACTTGAGCTTTATTGTCAACGCCGTTTTTGTCATATGCCACTAAGATCTTGTAGTTTGGGAATATCTTTAAACACTTTCAACATGTCTCCCCAATTTTGAGAAATCTGCCTCTGCAAAAGTGTACATTTGTTTTTGGAACACTTTGTACTTTACCCTGCCTGCTCTAGACAACATTTTTCGTGTGTGCTGAGTTCACATTCTCAAGAATTGTTCACATCCTCAAGAATTGTTGTCGAAATCAATCACAAGTCAATCACAAGTCAATCACGAGTCAATCACATGTCCAGTCACCAGTCAAACACAAGTCAATCAAAAGTCAATCGCCATACGGCCACAAGTTAGGAGAAATGGGCAACGACAAGGGACTACCGTTTCTCTTCGATCACTTGTGGCGACTCGTTATAACAATGCTGCCGATTTTTTGTCCAGAAACTGGTACCTCGGAGGGCATAACTCCAGCCTCTACCGGCCCCGGTATGGAGACCCTGGAGGAGCAAGCAGACAAGGAGCGCTTCTTCAAGGAGTTGGAGGCGAAGCGGGGAGGGATGGTAGACTACCACAGGCTGATCAAGGAACCAGACATGTCTAACACGATGGGCAGCCTGCGCTCGGCCAACTTGTCCAATACCATGGGAAGCATGCCGTCGGCGTACATGGGGTGAGTGGCTAAGGTTCTGCAGAAGAACTGTTAAGGGTAGTTTGGAACATTTGCAGTTCCCTAGAAATGTACCCACCGATTTAACGAGAAACTCCTAGACACGACATCTATTGTTCTTTTACGTTGTGAATTGAGCTAACATAGCTGCGGTCATGTGCTCTGTAACAATATGTTACGCGATACACCAAGGGTTTATAGATCTCTATGCATGGCCGTTGTTGTGTTACAAAAACACTGCATCCCAGTTGACCAATCAACGACTTAGTCCAGATTTCGGAATGAAACGACGTCACGATTTAGTAAAGTCGACTCGGATTGGCTGGCGCGGGGTCACAAAATCGTAATAACGGGTCGTTTAACACAGTGCAATTGAGGATGCAGTGCTAATATAATGTTTAAACACACCAATAGAAATACCTGTACTTTTATCTGTTATTCTGCAGTACTGCAGATGAGCATAGCAGCCCCATACCTTTCAAACAACTCCCCGGGAAGGGGGATTCGCCACACGATGACAAACACACAGACGAACACACCGACGAACAACCATCTTCAGCAGAGACTTCCCCATCCCAACCGACCGTCCACCCCCATGGTAAAATGGCATCGCCCAAGAAAGGCATGCTGGCTAAAGTGGCTCTGTTGGACACGGGTGATTCCATGTTGAATACAACCGGGCAAGTAGGGGAGGCCACCGCGAAGTTGGGAGGGGGTGACGGTCTGACGACTGGAGACATGTGGACTGCTAGCGCGAAGAATCAAATGTTGGATACTTCATCAGGTAAGCTTGATTTTTGCTGGTCTTAGAGGGCCATGAACTTGGACCACAACAGGACTTGAACCTCGAACCTCAGTATTATTCTTCCAGTGCTTCACCAACTCTAAGAAGAAAAAAAAGATATATAAACAAATATGGTAATTTCAGTTCTTTATAGTTTAGATGTTGTTGGAGTACCATAGTCCAAGGGGATCATGGAACTTGTGTTCTTGGGCAAGACACTTTACTGCAATTGCCTCTACCCACTCAGGATCGTAAGTTTGTACTTGTGAGGGTAAAGAACAGATTGCACTGATCATGAACGGCTGCATAAAGCTGATCTGATAGCTTGATGAAAGGGGATAATAATTGTAAAGCGCTTTGAGACATTGGGTAAAAGTGCAATGTATAAATACTACATTCTATTAGAAGTAATATATGATGCGATCAAGCTAAATGAGTCGTTTGTCGGGAACTTTCATTTGGAGATTCAGGCCAAAATAGGGCCACTTCATCGCATGACTTCATCACATCTCTTGGTGTTCCCACTTCCGTAATTTTTGAACTAAAGATGGTATCAGCATGCGATAATGCTGAGATAGTGCTCTTTTCAAATCTGTAAAAAAAAAAAAAATTGACCAGGGTCGACAAACGACTCATTTAGCTTGATCGCATCACATATAAACAACTGCAGATCTCTGTAGTTGGGTAATTTTTTTGTGGATTGATTGTCAACGGAAATTGTATGCATTGTTTATACAGGGTTGCTTGGAGCGGGGACTGCAACCGAAATGGAAGCCTTACAAGCGGCTTTGAGAGAAGCGGCTAACACTCCTACTATGGACTTCAGCCACACAGCCGTAGGCACTGATGAGGCTTTGGATAACGGTAAGACGGGGGAATTGGGGGGGGGGGGGTAATGTTGTGATCTGGAGCAGTATTGGACTTGTGATTTACTTGTGAAATTTTTTTGAGAGTTCACTTGTGATTTACTTGTAACTAGACTTGGGACCAGACTTGTGACTGGACTTGTGATTTACTTGTGACTGGACTTGTGATTTACTTGTGACTGGACTTGTGATTTACTTGTGTCTGGACTTGCGTTTTACTTGTGTCTGGACTTGCGTTTTACTTGTGTCTGGACTTGTGATTTACTTGTGACTGGACTTGCGATTTACTTGTGACTGGACTTGTGATTTACTTGTGACTGGACTTGTGATTTACTTGTGACTGGACTTGTGACTGGACTTGTGACTGGACTTGGGACTGGACTTGTGATTTACTTGTGATTTACTTGTGCCTGGACTTGTGATTTACTTGTGACTGGACTTGTGATTTACTTGTGACTGGACTTGTGATTTACTTGTGACTGGACTTGCGATTTACTTGTGACTGGACTTGCGATTTACTTGTGACTGGACTTGTGAATTGACTTGTGATTGACTTGTGAATTGACTTGTAATTTATTTGTGACTGGACTTGTGATTTATTTGTGACTGGACTTGCGATTTATTTGTGACTGGACTTGCGATTTACTTGTGACTGGACTTGCGATTTACTTGTGACTGGACTTGTGATTTACTTGTGACTGGACTTGTGATTTACTTGTGACTGGACTTGTGATTTACTTGTGACTGGACTTGTGATTGACTTGTGACTGGACTTGTGATTTACTTGTGACTGGACTTGTGATTTACTTGTGACTGGACTTGTGATTTACTTGTGACTGGACTTGTGATTTACTTGTGACTGGACTTGCGATTTACTTGTGACTGGACATGTGACTGGACTTGTGACTGGACTTGTGACTGGACTTCTGAATTGACTTGTGGTTTGTGAGTTTTTATGAACTTGGCTAATTTTTGTTTTCTTTTTTTGTTGGTATTGCCAGGAGGTCGGTCACGAACCGTCGACGATATAATTCGTGAGGTGAACGCAGAAAGGGGAAGGATGTTTGACAGCGTCGATGGCATCCCAAGCAGACTCATGGACCAAAACGAAACACCTGAATCGACCAATCAGAGGCAGCGGGATGCTTCTGATGAACCTGATGATCCTGGCAGCAGGCGTTCAGAGTTGCAGCCGGCCAATGAGAGCAGAGGATTTGATCTGCAGCCGGCCAATGAGAGCAGAGGCTTTGATCTGCAGCCGGCCAATGGGAATAGAGGATTTGATTTGCAACCAGCCAATGAGAGCAGAGGATTTGATTTGCAGCCGGCCAATGGGAACAGAGGCTTTGATTTGCAACCAGCCAATGAAAGTAGAGGATTTGATTTGCAACCAGCCAATGAGAGTAGAGGATTCGATTTGCAGCCAGCCAATGAGAGTAGAGGATTTGATTTGCAGCCAGCCAATGAGAGTAGAGGATTTGATTTGCAGCCAGCTAATGAGAGTAGAGGGTTCGATTTGCAGCCAGCCAATGAGAGCAGAGGTTTTCACTTACAGCCAGCAACCGCACCAAGTGGAATAAGATTTGATCCTAGTTCAGTCAGTGTGAGCAAACCAAGCCAAACTCTATCAATCTTTAAGGTTCTTAACCAGTTCGTGCCGGGATTATTTGGACAACAACGGAACGAGGTGCGGGATTACTTTTCACTCGACCTCAAGCCAGGCGGCTTGAAGCCATCACCCTCGGGCAGCACACTTATATTTCCGGCCTCACTCGCTGCGAGCGGGTCGCTGACAGATATTTCCAGCCTTGCTCCCTGATGGTTATCCGTCATCCGTTCCGAATACCAGAAAACCTTTGCGTGTATACACGTCATCCGGCACGAACTGGTTAAAGCTATGTTCAAACTATTCAGAAGTTAGCCAATTTTGAAATGTGAGACCATTTTTTGGTTGTGAGTTGAAAATTCATTTTAGTGTTTAACTAATGTTTGCTCTTTTCCAAATGAAAATACAAAACAGCGTTTTCTTTTTTTCGTTTTTGAAGGCTGATGATGAGAATTCTCAAAAGAGAAGTCTGGCTAAACAAACAAAGAGAGGTGAGCTATATTTTGATATGTGTTTATCATCTACATGTACACAGAAAGAGCCCAATTTTTTTTCTGTCTTTAAAGTGTTGTAAAAGGAACAGAAATTTAAGACTGTTAACAGCCAAATTCAGAAATCAAGTGTTCAGTCTGTGCATGAACTTGAAAGCTTGAAACCGAAATAAATGAATTATTGTGTTACTTTGAAGGACATAAAGGAGTTATCTTGTTAAATATTTATCCGTACATAGTGGGTATTAGCTGCAAGATTCTGGACAATTCATGAAGGAAAGAATTCCATACTGGACCACCACTCATACCTCCTGCACTAAGTCTATGGGCCATGACAGAAAAAGTTAGGGTATTTTAAGAATTTTTGCACTCCTTAAAATAGCGTTTCTTCATCAGATTTACAACTTTAGGTACTTTTCAGGTCATATTAGGGAATATGAGTGGTGGCCCAGTATGGAACTCTTTCTTTCATGAAATTTTTTGCAATGTAGTCTGAAAGGTGGTAACTAGTGCTGATAACGAGCCCTTCGTTTTTCTTTTTTAATTGCAGCTATTCCAAAGAGGGCTGGAACCAAGCCTACAAGTTCCCGGTATGCGCACATCAGAGGCTCTGGCTATGGTAAACCAAAGCCTGGTGATGCATGGTCACCAGCTGAAACAGCAAAGCAAAAGATCAAAGGTCAGTTAATTAGTCTGTATTCCAGACTAAATGGCCGTAATTATCATAGTAATTACACAACTTTAGGTAATATACAGCATTTGCTTTTGCAGTAATTTTCAGAAATAGGTGGTTTTGGAGGCTAGTATTTATGGCAAATATTGTTGCACTGACAAGTTTAAAGTTTTGTGTTCATAGATGCTGGAAAAACCAAGTACAAAAATGCTGTTCTTGTAGTCTGGTTTCCATATTGTATGTCAGACGAAATGGAGCAATTTATAGACTTCAGGGAATTATCGGATCAAGGAACCAGACTAGCTGGCTTGCACCTGATTGCAAACAAAATGTGGAATACTTAGTTTTATAAACTGGGGTAGTGTTTAAAAAAAAAGTCAGTTTTTTTTCTCTCAAAAGTGGTCGGCCATAAGTTCAAACTCCCTCGATTCGTTCAAACTCCCTCCCTCAAATTTCCTCGATTTACTTAACAAATAGTTTGAAAACTTGTTTAAAAACTGACAAATGTTTTAACAAGTGAACAATTTTAATCCTAAGTTTTGCAGTAAATTTTGACATGTTTATGAGGTCTTGCCTAAAACCCATGGCTCCAGTGTTAATTACAGGACTGATTGCAGCTCCATTTGTTTCCCCTGTGTCCATGAGCAGGGGAATTTACCACAATCACCTAGGATTTTGATTTGTTTTTCTTCCCAGGTTCGGAGGTGCCATCTCTTCAACCAGGATCCGGGGAGGTACACGGGAATATCATGGCGTCGGTGGAGTCCTTCGCTCATTATATCCAAGAGCATTTTGTGGATGCAGAGAAACCCTCGACACCAAAAGAGGTCAATACTATGAAGTTGGACAGATTTAAAAAAATGAATTGAACAATGTTGCTTCTTTACTGCTGGCTTACTTTTAATCAAGAATGGTTTACAGAACAGTGTTGGATTTGGGGATTTTTACGCTTTCATACGAAAGGCTTTTAGGGTAACACTTGGCCGAAATTCATACTAAATTAAAGGTTGTGTTCTATTTCTCAAATTTTAGAGACCAATTCAACCCAGAAAGTCTGCGGATGAGCCGTTACTCTCCGCCAGCTTGCGCGAGTCCCGCCTGGAGCTCATCTCCCGAGAGAGGGCGCTAGTCAACGAGGTATCAGAGTGGCAGGCGCGCTGGAAGGAAGAGCACAAGCTCAACGCCAAACTCAAGGCGGAGATTGCAGCCCAGCAGAGGGAGGTGGCACGGAAGCAGGAAGAGCTGCAGTTGAATCACAAGAGGGAGTTGTTCAAACTCAAACAGGATAACACGGTGTTGCAGGCAAAGGTGTGATTTTCTTCGTCGGTCCGTACTAGAATTCGCTAAGCGTAGAAAATGCTTGCTTAGCAGGACTGGTTACCAGGCAAAATATTATGCAATCCATATTGCACTTGGCCGGTTCTCAGCTAGGCGATTCCATGGTAACTCACATTACATTTAGAGGGGTTCTTCTTTCAACTCTGTGTTGTTATTCTATAAAGTCAATGCATTGAGGGTTGGATTTTTCTCAAGGAAGATCCCCTGAAATTAATGGATTAACCAGACGACAAATAAAAAGGCCAACATAATAAACTCCTGTTGGTTTTCAATACATTTGTTATCGGTAACACATGTTGTACAAAAAGACAAAAAAAATCCACGTTTCAGCTGTATCCACTTTTGCGTGAAATTGCCCATTTACATCTTGCACTTAGTTTCGGCTTTCTGATTTCTAACAGTTTTCCCCCCAAAATAATCCTTTTTTGTGTTTTCTCCCAAAAAGTTAAACATTCAAGACGAGCAGCAAAACGGGAAGAAGCGGGCTGTCTCTGGTCGGTCAATAGAGGGCGCCAGCCAGGAGGAAATCAAGCTCATGCAGAAAGAGATCGTCGAGCAGGAGACGCTACTCCAGGGTTACCAACAGGTAATATTGGATATTGCGGGCTACCAGTGAGTTACTATGGCTACACGTACCTAAAGTATAGATAAAATTTCGTGACGTCACTTTTTTTGTGGCGTGACGTCGCATTTTTGTGGCATTCCACCCATACATGTTTTTTTGCTCACTGCCACTCAATTTCATTCGATTAAATTTGTAAGGATAAATAAATAAATCCTGTTTAAAATCAAATTCGTAATTTTGATGCACAGCAAATTGCAACAAACTTTTGCACACATTTTAAAATGTTGATTGTAAACTTGAACAAAGAAATTGACTGGAGCGGGGTTTGAACCTACAACCTCCGTATTGCCGTTCCGGTGCTCTACCAACTGAGCTATCCAGAGGTCAAAATTCAGCGCCAGTTAGTTTTTTTTATTTGTTGTTTATGTATTGTTTTAGTTTTATCTGGGTTGTTTGTTTGGTTTTTTTTTTTCAAGGAAAATGAGAGACTGTACAATGAGGTACGGAAGTTGCAGAAATCCAACTCGGAGGGTGAAGAAAGGCTGCTGAGGGACAACCAGAAACTGCAGATGGAGGTTGCCAATCTGAGGTAAGATTCGCTGTCAATGCCCGTGCCATTTTATACGTGTCATCATGCGCCACATGGTGTTGTGTTCCGCCTCATTCCGTGCATTGCTGTGCCATGCAGTCAGAGGTCAGGGGTTCGAATCCAGCTGCTGGCCATATGTTGTGTCCTTGGGCAAGCCACTTCACCCCCACTTGCCTCCTTCCACCAAGGAATATAAATGTGTACTGGCATTAACTAACTCGTGATCAGAGGGTCAGGGCTTTGAATCCAGCTGTTGGCCATGTGTTGTGTCCTTGGGCAAGCCACTTCACCCCACTTGCCTCCTTCCACCCAGGAATATAAATGTGTACTGGCATTAACTAACTAGTGATCAGAGGGTCAGGGGTTCGAATCCAACTGCTGGCCATATGTGTGTCCTTGGGCAAGCCACTTCACCCCCACTTGCCTCTCTCTACCCATGAATATAAATGTGAACTGGCAATAGCTATCCCTAACAGTCCTGAATCTTCCAAATTCAACACGATTTTGCACACCCCCTAGGGAGTTCTAACGTGTGATCAGAGGGTCAGGGGTTCGAATCAAGCTGCTGGACATATGTGTGTCCCTGGGCAAGCCACTTCACCCAAGGAGTATAAATGGGTACCAGCATTAGCTGGGGAGTAACCTGAGATGGACTTGCATCCCATTCAGGGAGAAAAGAAATATTCTCAGTCGTTTCATACCACAGTAACCGGAGATAAACGCCGGCCTGACTAGCCATATTGGCCCGGACCAGATTTTACTTAAGTTGACATTAAGTTCTGAAACACCCATTGAAGATTCTAAAACCTGCCAATGCAACCTGTTTGTCAACCCTTCAACTTTGAATTTAACATCCTCTTTTTTTTCCCCCCATACCAGAGAGGTTTTGGAACAAAAAGACACCGCCCTTCGACACAAGGGCCTGATCACCGGGACCAAGATACAACAGGAGATCGCCGCGGGTAATAACCCGGCCGTCCTAGGTGCCGGGAGGATCGCTGAGCTGCAGGTAGAACTACGGGAAGCAGAGGTAATATTCACAAACTTACGTGGGTGGGACTCGAACCCACGACCTCCTGCTTATCAGTGCAGATGTCTTACCACTCGACCATCCAGATTTCTTTGGTCGGCTAGGTGGTTTGAATCTGATCAGTGGGTGTTGCGAGAAATCACTGAAACTGAATATAAAAAAAAAGCGTCAAGTGAGACTCATTTTGAGAAATCTGGTTGCAAAAGCTTAAATAATTTCCTTCTTTTTGCTTGAACAGATATCACTATGAATTTCAACACCGTGAATTTGGAGTGAATATATAATTTGACATGAATTCACCGTGAAGTTTTTTTCACGACAATGTCATTGCGAAGTATCTGGTGAAATCGCCCTGAAAATCATCACGTAACCAGGACATGTTAAGGTCAAGTAAAAACACCGTGAAAATGCAGTGATGCCTTCTGTGGAGCCCAGCTCATTAACTTTGTGGTTGCGTTAATCCGTTGAGCAGTTTATCAACTTTGGGGCCTAATCCCCCTCATAAAAAGGCACATTGCCTGTCAATCTTAATGAGGTGATCACAATAAACAAGGCGTTGGATACTTGTAGGAGGACACTTTGTAGCTTTTGTGTACTTGGGCAGTGGGCATTGGGTAGTAAGTGTAGCTGTCAATCACACTAATCCTGTAATCACTCAGACCATTAATCTGTGGTTTTCACACCTTCAGTGGAGTGAAGCTGGGCCTGCTGTACAGTTATGAATAACAATAGACCCTTGGACCTCAGGAAACTGCAGTGAGCTAGCTGCTGAGGGGCCCAGTTTGGCACCGTGAAAATGAGCTTACTTGGCAGTATAAAAAACTTTCACGGCCACTTCATTGTAAACTATATTTTCACGGTGTTGAAATACTTGCTTATTTTCTATGTACAAGCATATAGAGTGTGTGAGTTGACCTCAAACACATGTGTGATTTAAAGAGAATACACAACATTCAGGCACCATGTATAAGATCTACAACGGGTGTACTGTCCTTTTTTTTTGCATTTATATTGTGTCCTGAGTGGGCCCATCTAATCAAGGGCAATAAATGGGTGTTTCGAAAGAAAAGAAACCATTACAATTTACAAAAAGTTTAAAATATTACCAATTGATGACAATTATATTAAAATTGTTGACCTCAACTTCCGTTCAATCAATCACATAGATAACAATTGGGTAAATTTAAACGCAAAGAGTCTGTGACTAGACTAGTAAATGTTTGGTACCAAAACCTTCACAGAAAAAGGGAATGTGGACTGGCGAGACACGTATTGACTCAAGTCCTGAAATCATTGGTGAACAATTTCTCACAATTTCTTTCAGATGCGAGAAGCGTCATTGAAGCAGCATCTCCGGCAGATGGATGATGCAAACAGGGAGCTGAAGGAGCATATAGAGACCCTAGTCAGAGACAAGAACCACTCCCAGGTCAAGCTGCAAGATCTCAGAGATGTCAAACAGCGGGAGTTTCTGGTAAGCCGCACACCCCTGTTACTTGTGGTCTGATTTTTTTTATTTGACTTGTGATCCTTTTATGGACTTTTTACGTGAAGACGTATATGAGAAATGCAGAACAGAACTGCTTGTGGAGTCTCGTGGTCTAGAGCATTGAATTCGTGGTCTGCGGGTAATTCTGCAGGTTGTGGGTTCGAGTCCAGCCTGGGGCTATTGTGCGTGTGTCCTTGGGCAAGGCACTTTGTCACTCATTGCTTTTCGCCACCCAGGAGTAAATGAGTACCTGTGAGGGCAGAGATGGTTATTGTGAATTTTTACTGCTTTGCGCCAAAATGGCAGCATCGAGCTTGAAGTAAAGTTCTCGTTAAGAAGGTCCCTTTTTATCTAGTTTAATGTGTCTTTTGTTTGAAAGTGTCTTTTTTTCATTTTTTTTTTCTAGGACATGCAACAACAATACCAGCATGAGATAGAAGGACTCAACAAGAAGGTACGATGGTACGCCGAGAATCAAGAAATGCTGGACAAGGATGCTAGCGCTCTACGGGAGAAAAACGAGGAAATTAAACGACTCAGGGAAACCTTGGAGAAAGCCAACAAGCAGGTACGACAGCAAGGAAACGTACGATACACTACAAGCAGACAATGTTAAATAACCAATATTGCCTCTCATCGATGTTATTTGATAAACACACGTACTCAGCATTGTCCAAGGGCTTACGAGGAAAATAACACAATCTCACTCGGGCGGGACTCGAACCAACAACCTCCTGCTTACTAGTGCAGACGTTTACACTTTACCATCTCCTCAACACAAACATGCCATTATAAAAATAATTTAAAAATCTCTTCCTCTTTGTAATTGACATATACCGAATTCGAAATGTGAGGTAAATTGGCATTACAATAAAAATACTGATATGGGCTCCTAAACGTAGCTATACGTTTACTGAAACATAATTCAGATTTTGTATATGGGCAATTAAACGTAAAAGTAGACCTTGCTAAGAAAGTAGAAAATGTATGCAATCTTCAAAACTACGAGCATCACTACCACGAATGTGGTTTCAAATCAAAGGGGACAACAAGACCTTTTGTTTGCGTGATGGCCAGGGAGATTAAATGCGGTCAAATGCACTTTTGTTTTAAAAGAATTGTTTGGGGGCTAAAATGATGGAATTTTCAAATGAAAGGTATTAAAATTTTTGCCAAGCCCTTTTTTGTAATGCAAGTTACTGATAAAATACTTATTGCCGAACCAACAGAAATATATTTTGTCATCCTCTTTTTTGAAGTTAAGTCACTTAACTTCGAGGGAACTTCTGTGGAAAAATCCACCATAAATGCTTTGACTTTATAGAATTACAGCACAGAGTTGGCAGAAGTTCCAAGTAACTCGTATCAAGTCTAGCAGGGAACATTTTAACCACACACACACAATGAAGATATTTCATTGCTGAGTTTGTAAAATTCAGTCAATGAATTTGTTAATTTTTCCAATTGGTTTTGTCCAGACCAACCAGAAGACAAGTGATGCCCAGAGGAGGGCCAAGGAGAGAGCCGCCGATGCCAAGAGGATACAGGATCTCGAGAGACAGGTACAGTCAATCTCACAGTCATGATGACATGGTCTGTTGAAGTGTTATGGGCTCCGTGTGCCGACAAAAGAGGGCGCCCTTTTACCTAGCAATGACGTCCCATGGGCGGGACATTTCGCTGGTTGACGCGCAACGTTCCTTGTGTGTGACGCACGTACACCAGGGGATTTGTACTATGTACACGCAGTGGCCGCGCTTCGCGGCAAACGAATTGCTGTCAGGCAAGATGGGTGGGTCGGTCACCCCCAACTGTACATTCTTTGCCGGTGAGGGGGTACTTGTGAACAGAGCGGGTGGTCCAGTAAACAGGGTTGTAGTCAAATCCATCACAAGTCAAACCACAAGTCAGTCACAAGTCAAATCGCAAGTCCGTCTTAAGTGTAATCGCAAGTCAGTCACAAGTCCATCACTAGTCAGTTGCAAGTCAAATCACAAGTCAGTCACAAGTCCATCACAAGTCAGTTGTAAGTCAAATCACTAGTCAGTTGCAAGTCAAATCACAAGTCAGTCACAAGTCCATCACAAGTCAATCACAAATCACAAGTCAGTCTCAAGTTAGATCTCAAGTCAGTCCAAAGTAAGATCACAAGCACCAGGAGTAGAAGTCTTGCCTTTTTTCCCCAGTTTCATTTGAATTTCTTTCTCTTGAGTTCCGAAGACTTGTGATCGCCTTGCAATTGACTAGTGATTGTCTTGTGACGACTTGAGAAGAGTTCTGATTGTGAATGAAAAATCTGTGGTGTTTGGCAGGTGAACTCACGCTCACCTTCAAAATCATGTGTACAATTTTTGCAGAGAAACTACTAAATAAATGTAATTTTTATGTCAGGTGAGAGAAATGAACGACATCATCCGTAGGCGCCACCCAAACTCCCTCCCCGCCTTGATCTACGCCGCTGCCTCGGCAGCACACCCCGACCCCGCCCAAGATGGCACCCAGGACCACGCCCGAGCCACGCCCGCCAAATCCCACACGGTGGCCTTCCTGGAGGAGAAGGTCAGGAAGATGGAGGCAGAGCTTGACGAGAAAGAGGCAGAGACCAAGATGTTTGCAAGGGTCCTGGAGCAGAAATACAACAACATGAGGGTAAAGTCGGTTTGTTTACTTTGTATTACACTGTATAGCATGGTATTTTGTATACATTGTATACATTGTATTACATTGTATTCATTGTATATTTTTAATACACTGTATTACATTGTATTACACTGTATTAGGCCAAAAGAAAAAAATATTCGGTCTCTGGTCAGACCAAAGTTCCGGAATCGACGCGGCGACGCGGCTTTTTTTTTTTTTGCTTTTTTTTTCTTTCTTCACGCTTGGATTGTACAGACAAGGTGGGGTACTATTTTGCTTTGTTGGTGTCCTCATGTACATTGGTGTCCTCCATCATTTGCCTTGGTGCTTTTGATCATTTTCCTTGGTGCAATTTCCCTTTCCTTGGTGCTCTTTGGTAAAACAAATTGAGGAGGTGCGGAAATAGAGGGCGCTGTTGGAGCTACCGCAGAACATTTTGGAAAAAAAAAAAAGATCAACGCGCATGATTAAAATCGACGCGCGCGCTGACCAGAGACCGACTTATTTTTTTTTTGGCCTTACACTGTATTACATTTTCACCCTTCAGTTCCAGTACGAAGACCGACTCCAAGCCCTAGAGAAGCAACTCCAGGAAAGCAAACAGCGCCACCAAGAGGCCATGGCCAGGACTCGGGCCCAACCTCACGCCCCGCCCCAAAAGAGGGAACTAGGAAGCATCCCGGAGGAACACCAGAAGAAGATTGAAGAAATGAGGGCCGAGAATGAGGATCTGAGGAGGCGGCTTGCTAAGACGGTGAGGGTGGCTTGGGTCGACGAGGAGATGCAGGAGGGAGAACAGAGAGGCAAGGGGATGGATGAAAGGAGCCTGCAGACGAAACTGACAAGTCTTGCAAAGTAGGCATAATATGTTACAATAGATGGTAGAACATTTAAAAGTGATACACTTTAACGTGAAGTTAAATGTCATTAACGCTGGCTCTGACGTATTTGGGCTGAAGTCTTACTGAATCTGAACAAAATCTGCTACTATGTACAGACAGAATGGAACATGCTGTAAGGCATATACGTGTTTAAAAAAATGATACATTTAGAGTAAAAATATTAAAAATACTAGCCCCTATTTTGTTTAATAATAACTTATATACGCTTAAGGAATGATTATTTCTCAACACAATGTTGTTTTCCCTATCTCAATTGGACACCTACATCCAGAGATATAGACAGTTAATTGAAAGGGATGATGTGTAATTGTGGTCCAATTTGCAGCAAAGTGGATGAAGGGAGATTAACATGCCAGCAATCTCTCTGTTGGCCAACTTACCTATTGTTCTTTGCCAATCAACATTTAGTTAGAAAAATGCTCAAAACCTAAGCTGTTGAAATTTCAGCTCAGCGGATTTGTCAAGTAAACAGTGAAAAATCATGCACAACTTTTTGATCACTGAAAAATGATTTCGTCCATAGCACTCTTTTTATTTCCAAAAAAAATCAGTCAATTGACTGATTGTTGGTAATCACGCCTCGCAATTTCATCAGATCTTCAGGCATGCAACTTTTCCTTGGATCTGCTGATTTCCTCGTTTTTGACTTCTCATGAATGCCATTACAAATTGAAAAATACTGTACAAAGTCTTGTGTGGTTTGGACTTTCCTCGTTTTTTCTAAATTCCCAGTTGCATGCCTGGATTTTACATAGTGGAATATATCTTAGAACAAAGTTGTAAAATTTGTCTTATTGTCACTGTTTTCAGGGAGTTGAGCAACAGAGACAATGAAATTGAGATGCTGAAGGCAACATGTGAGAAGTTGATGCAGGAACGAGTCAATGCAATGACGACTGCGGACTCAAGCCAGGCCAAAGGTAAAAACATTAGTCATTTTACCGTTAACTTCAATGTTAATTTGAAAAAGAGAATTGCTACTATACTTTTTTTGAAAATTTATTATAAAATTTGTTGTAATTTGGTGAAACCTCTATTTGACTGTTGGCAGTGCTCTATGCATTCCGTATTGCCAAAGAAATTGTACTGTTCTTCCATTAATTGTTGCAAACGCTTCCATGGAACCACATAAACATGTCAAAGAAATGGAACATTGAAGCTGTGATGACTTGGTTGCTTAAGGGTGACATGGGTGGCTAGTTGATAAGCGCTTGCCTCTCACAACTGTTGCCCGCGGGGACGCGTGTTCGATCCCCGGCTCGGACCATATGTGAGTAGAGTTGTGCATTGATTCTCTCCTGTGCCACCTGTTTTTCTCGGGGCTCTCTGGTTTTCCTCCCTCCACAAAAATCAAACACTCTTGATCTCTGGCTGTGCTCCGTGGTCAGACATGGGTCGTATGGCGGCTGCCTAAGGCGCCTTTAAATGCCTTGGGCTCGACCACGTTGTAGCCGCGTCCTTCACAATTCAGCCTCTCAGCTGCGAGTAAGGATGATTAGCCCCCAAACTATTTGAATGACTTGTCAAACCAAACGTTTCTGGACAGATAAACCTCAGCCAGGCAAGAAGTCAAAGAGAAGCAAGTCTTCGTCGTCCAGCCAGTCCGGTGAGAAGCGATACCAACCGGAGAACTTCAGCGGGACGCACATCTCTGACGTCCTGACAGATAATGAACAACTCAAGCAACAGGTAAGGGCACTACTGAAAATGCGTTGCAAAAACTTCAGTAATGTTTTATGTCGCTTTACGTTTGTATATTCATGCTGTAATAAAACATAATACCTTTGGTGAATTTCTCTCTGCTAATGAAATATTGAAATATAACCAAACACAAATAAGCCATTTGTGAGTAACCTATACCCTTTGGGATTTACATAACATCTGGTACACTGACTTGCTCAGAATGCTTGGCACATTTTAACTTTGAATTCTCCAGACCAAAGACACTGTTGCTAATCACATGATTCGGGGCAAGCTCTTGCATAGTTACGTAAGAGACGCTCAGCATCAATACATCGCTCACAATGGGTGAGAATGGCACAAAGACACCAGACCATGCCAGAGCTGGGTGTTGCTAGCATAAGGCTTGCCCCGAATCACGTGATGTAGTAACAGTCTCTTTGGTCGGGAGAATGCAAAGTTAAAATGGGCAAAGCATTGGATTAAGTCAGCGTTCCAGATTTTATTCAAATTTAACACGCAAATGGCTTATTGGATTTCAGTCCAGATGTTTAAAAAATGTCATTGAGTTTTGAACAATGGCAACTTTTAAAAATGATAATTATCAAAAGCTTACAGTTGCAGAGACTTAGAAAAAGCATAAGTAGCTTAAAGGTGCCCTGTCTTCAAGATGTACCGTCATTCAAGTTTCTACCCCATTAAAGAAGGCTATGTTTTAAGGCTATTTTTTAAGTGAAGATGTCTTTTAATTAATAAGGCCGAAAAAAAAAGTCTCCAGTTTCTGGTATGCGCGCGCGTCGCCGTAGCCATGCGCGTCGGCAAAATGAATTTTTTTTTTTTAAAATGAGAGATGATGTCTCAAAACCGCCAAACTCTCTGGTTTGACTGGAATCCTGCTGCTGCACAATTTTAACATGTTTTTAGATGGGGTTATGATCGAGAATAAGCTTTATGTGGCCTCTCTGGACTCCCATATATTTGCACTAAGTTTAGTCGGGCACCATTTGCAGTCATCAGCCGACATTTGAAGCAAAAAAGTCAGGTAAAAAAAAAAAAAAAGCCGCGTCGCCACACCACTTTTTGGGCAAGCTCCATACCAGAAACCAGGGACTTTTTTTTTTTGGCCTAAGAAAATTCTTTATTTTTTGTACATCATCAGCTTGAGCAACTCTCCCTGGAAATGGAACAGCAGCGAATCAGCTCACAAGCCTCCCTGGCACAGAGCGAGGGCGCCATTCGCCGTGCGCACGAAGAGGCTGCCGAGCGGCTGGCCGCGTTGCGAGCCAACCACGCGGCCGAGATGGAGAAACTCGTGGCAGAGAGGGCGCTAGAGCACTCGGACAGTAGGCACGCTAAGCTGGTCGGCCAACTAGATACACAACAGGTATGATTGAAAAGGACGACAAAAGTTTTATTTTTAACGACAATGGTCAAGAAGCAACCAGAACGTGGAGTGCTAGGGCCCAGTGGTTACAATGTCCTAACCCTGATGGTAGGTTGGTCAGAACCCATGGTTCTTGTGTTATTGGGCAAGACACTTTACTACAATTGCCTGCCTCCACCCAGGAGTATAAATGGGTACCTGTTGAGGGTAGGGATCAGGTTGCGCAGATCTGGAGCTGCTGCAGAAGAACTGGTTTCATGGCCTGATGAACAGGGGTAATAATTGTGAAGTGCCTTGAGACTTTGCCTCAGGTTGTCAAGCCATGTTTTAAGAAGAGCATTTCAAGACATGCAGAAATAGCCGGACTTGAGAAAATGCTCCTGAGTAGTCCCTCAAGCAAATTCTGAAGTTTCTGAAGCTGCATGTAAATAGTATGTACGTGGACTATCAAAGAGGTACATGAAGGTTGGAAGTGCAAAGATTCTTCAAAAGAGCTACCACACTTTTTTGTCATCTAGGTGATGATCAAGCATCTCCAGGAGCAGTTGCTAGATGCCAGAGTGGACACGGATTCCCTGTCTGCAGCCCGTGTCAGGGAGCAACTCCTGAAGACCCAGGTCGAGCAGCTCAACGAGGATCTACGAGAAGCCAAGAAGTCCCACACTCCTGTAAGTTAGAATCCAGTTGAACAGTGACTTCATGTTTTTTGTTCGTTTGGGGTGGGGGTGCTATGTGGGGAAACCCTCCCTCTCCTCTTCAGCCCCTGCAGGAGTCCTCTGCAACCCATTTCTCCAAACTCGAAATTTTAAAAACAAGCTGTATCTTATTTCTTTTACCACAGGAGATGCACCATTTTGAAGCACTACAAGCCAAGATAGCAACCATGGAAGCAAAGTATGTACACCTATCCAGGACTTTTTAAATGACTCCTGCTTCCAAAATTTGTGATCACTTTAATTCACAAGCCCTGAAGTCTGAAGTATTCTCAACCACTGTGATTGTATCTTTTGATCTTTCATATTCAGGCATGCTCAGAGAGAACAAGAGCTGCAGCAACTGGTGACCAGGGCCAGATATTCAGCCTCCTATGAGAAGGATCAAGAAATCGCCGGACACCAACAGGTTCTGGCTGCCAAGAACAGAGAACTGCAACAGTTCCGGCAGGAACTCGATGCTATACTAGAGGTTCTGAGGGAACTGCAACGACAGGGCGTAGTTCTGCCATTACATAGTCACACAGTACAGTCCCTGTTGAACTGAAATGCCGGGTATAATCCGGTTCTAGCAAAGAACTGAGAACTACAATAGTTCCTGTAGGAACTCGATGCTATATTAGAGGTTCTGAGGGAACTGCAGTGACAGGGCGTGGTTCTGCTATTGCATAGTCACACAGTACAGTCCCTGTCGAACTGAAATGCTGGGTATAATCAGGGTCTAGCCAAGAACCGAGAACTACAATTCGATGCTTTACTGGAGGTTCTGAGGCGATTGCAGGACAGGGTGTGATTCTGCCATTACATAGTCAAACAGCACAGTCCCTGTTGGACTCAAATGCTGGGTTAATCAGGTTCTATCCAAGAACCGAGAACTTCAATAGTTCCTGTAGGAACTCGATGTTATACTAGAGGTTCTGAGGCAATTGCAGCGACAGGGTGTGATTCTGCCATTACATAGTCAAACAGTACAGACCCTGTTGAACTGAAATGCTGGGTATAATCAGGTTCTAGCCAAGAACTGAGAACTACAATAGTTCCTGTAGGAACCTAATGATATACTAGAACTGCAGTATCAAGAGGTGGTTATCCCATTGTCAAGCTACCAAGCACAGTCAATTTTGAAGTGAAATGCTGGGTATTAATAAGTTCCAGCCACTAAGAACCAAAAACTGCAGTATTTGCAGCAGGAACTGGATGATATACTAGAGGTTGTTAGGCAAGTGCAGTGTCAGTGAGTGATTATCCCATTGTCAAGCTACCAAGAGCAGTCATATTTGAACTCAGATGCTGGGTTTAAGTAAGTTATAATGCCCAGAACTGCAGTAGTTCTGGCAGGACCTCGAGGCTACACTCAAGATTTTTGTTTGATTTTGCGACCTTTTCGCTTGTTGAATGGAAACATGGTTTTTCACTGATTTTTTTTTCAGTTTCAAACCGGGTACTCATGTAAATTGTGCATTGTATATTATATATATTTGTGCCTTCCAGTGTTAATAGCTGTTGATATTTATAGATATGGTGTTTCAAACACTTTTTGACTAATAATTAAGAATAAATATTTCAAATGAAAGTATATTATGTCAAGGTTTTAATTATCTTTCTTGTGTTCTGTTAATAAGGAAAACACCCCCCCCCCCAAAAAAAAAAGGAAAAGAAAGAGTTATAGTTTAGGGACAATGAGGCATTTTCTTAGCAGGTTTTACAAAAAAGTAAAAAAAAGCCCAATATTCCTTTAAATTTATAAGACGAAATATTTCACTTAAAAGGCACATCATGCAAGTGGAAATGTGTTCAAGTGACCCTCAGACGTCTTTACAGCAAATTTTTAGAAATTTCATTTTCAGCCAAAATTAAAAAAAAAAATGCATTTTTATTGAATTTTTGACAAAAAGTAATTTTTTTTCTGAAAGGCTCATCAATGCCTTGGGATACATGCGAACCTTAAATGAATACTCAAGCATATTTTGGAACATTTTGGCCAAATTTGTGACATTATTGAGAAAAATAGTATTTTTGAACAATTTTACCTCAAATTTGCGACGCAATATTTCACCTGAAAGGCACTTCTGTCAAGTATGCGAGTGGTAACGTGTTCTAGGGACCCTCGGACGTCTTTACAGCGAGTTTTCAAGAAATTTAATTTTCCAGCCAAAATTTTAGAAAAAAATGACCTTGCATTTTTGACGAATTTCGATATTCAAACAAGCATATTTTGCAACCGTTTTGCCAAAATTGTGTAATTAATAGGGAAAATAATATTTTGGACCGATTTCCCCTCAAATTTCTGACACAATATTTCCCCTTCAAGGCACACCTTTGCACCATACGAGTGAAAACGTGTTCTAGGGACCCTCAGAAGTCTTCACAGCAAGTTTCAAGAAATTTCATTTTTCAGACAAAATTGAAAAAAAATTGCAAGGGTTAACCTTACATTTTTGATGATATTTGGCCCCAAATTGACTTTCTTGTAAAAAGCTCAAAAATGCCTTGGGATATATGCGAACCATAATTCAATACTCAAACAAGCATATTTTAGAAGATTTTGGCCAAAATGTGTGACATTGGGAAAATTAGCATTTTTAACCGATTCTCGACCCTCAAATTTCCGGCGCAATATTTCACCTGAAAGGCACTTCTGTCACGCATACGAGTGAAAAAGTGTTTTCTAGGGACCCTCGGACGACTTCACAGCAAGTTTCAAGAAATTTCATTTTCCAGCCAAAATTGAGGAAAGATTCCCATATCTGGCCATCACTTGTCACCCTGTGCACAAACTGTATGAGACTGGTCTGAAATTTTTAAAGTGTTTTCTCAGTAAATATTTCAATATTTTCCCTGCTAAATTTGATTTTTTACTGACATATTATCACTTTTTGATGGCTGATGGGTCCCTGAAGGGAAAACTTAGTAATGGCCAGATATAGGAATCTTTCCAAAATTGAAAAAAATTGCAAGGGCATAGCCTTACATTTTTTTATGAATTCTGCCAAAAATTGACTTTTTTCCCAAATGCTCGAAAATGCCTTGGGATGCATGACAACCGTAAATCGATATTCAAACAAGCATATTTTGCAGGATTTTGGTCAAAATTGTGAAATTATTTGGAAAAAATAATATTTTTATCTGTTTTCACTCAAATTTCCGACGCAATATTTCTATTTCAAGGCACATCTGTCCAGCATACGATTTGAAACGTGTTCTTGGGAGCCTCTGACGACTTCACAGCAACTTTCAAGAAGTTTCATTTTTCAGCCAAAATTGAAAAAAAAAATGCAAGGGGTTAACCTTACATTTTGATGAATTTTGGCCACAAATAAACTTTTTCCCAGAATGCTCAGAAATACCTTGGGATGCATGACAACCATTTTTTGATATAAAAAAAAGCATATTTTTCTAAATTTTGGCCAAAATTTTGAAATTATTGGGAAAAATATTTTTTGACCGATTTTCACTCACATTTCGATGCAATATTTCCCCTTTTAAGGGACATCTGTTCAGCTTGTCGAAACGTGTTCTAGGGACCCTCAGATCTATGCGCAGCAAGTTTAAATAAATTTCAATTTTCAGCCATAGATGAAATTGAACCTTTCTTTTTGTTGAATTTTGGGCAAAAATCCATATTCAAACAAGCATAATTATTAGACTCACCCCGAGTTGGTAGTTGACTGGGTCCACTTTTCCCACTCAGTCCGGGAGCTCAGGCGATCCGCGGCGGCTGCTCCGCTGGGTCCAAAGCCGGCTCCCTGCTGGTGCCCCACTACCTGAGTCGGTACATCGTCCAGCCGCGATCGGCGTCGACGCACCCCCGACTGCTTAGCCCGCGAACGGGGTTCCCCGATCGGCTTCCTAGCAAGGCCGGCATCCGTCCCTTTCCTGGGACGTTGAACTGTGGCTGACCGGGTGGCTTTTAGGCATCTTCAAGTACTAACGAGTAGACTAAAACGCAGCCAACTAAAATCCGAAGTTCCGATACTAAAAGCAGATCGAACAGGAAGACTTCTGACGAATTTTGAAGATAGAAAATCAAGTTGAGAACGAGAATAATGATGTTGTCACATTCAGGCACTGCAACGAAGTGGGCCTCGCCACGTGGTAAAACAGCCCCACGCATTGCCTCTGTCCAACCAACCATGGAGGAAGGTCCAACACGTCACTCCTAGACTAGCCAATCCAACTCCTTATACATATTCATAAGCCCCACCCATCCCTTAAACTGGCTGGAAACCATTTCGCGCTGCGTGCAAATTATTTGATCGTTCAGTCGATACAATTAGGTAATTCAATATTCAAACAAGCATATGTTCTAAGATTTTGGCCAAAATTGTGAAGTTATTGGGAAAAATAATATTTTGACCGAGACATCTTCAAAGCAAGTGTCAAGAAGATCCATTTTTCAGCCTAAATTGAAAAAAGAAAGAATTTAAAACGTTTTCTAGGGACCAGGAGACATTTACGCAGCAAGTTACAAGAAATGTCATTTTCCAGACAACCTCGAAAAAAAATGCAAGGGGTAACTGACACTTTTTCATGACTTATGGCCCCAAATTGAGTTTTCTGCAAAATACTCAGAAATGCTTTCGGATGGCTGAAATTAGCAGCAAAACGAAGCAGGAAGTTTCCTAAAATGATTTTTGCGGCCACATTTAACCAGTAAACCCAAACAAACGTCATAAATAACCAGACGAACGAAACGAACACAAGGTAAGCGAGGAGACATAATGTCCAAAATTGAAATGAAATTATGAAACACACAGAATCCAAACTTTGAAATCTTGAAATCCTTTGATTTTATATTCATTTAGTAGAAAGCAATGCAAGAGAGCTGCACCAGGCATGTCTAATGCAAAAGAAAACCATACGTCATAAGCATCCTGATGTTTATGACTCAATAATAATGCACACTATTAAAATAAAAACCTCTTTGATATTCGCATTGCGTTCTGGAAATCAAGCGAGCAGTTATGCTGATGCACTATAGGGACAGCGAACCAGTCAAATTTTAAATCACTTTTTTCTTCAGTTTATCTCGAAAGTTAGTTGATCATCAATTCACACATCAATGCAAGTTACATAAGAAATGTAGTTTGAACATGAAAATGAGGATTCGTAATCTTATGAAAAAAAACAATAATTTTGAATTTTTGTTTTTGTTTGGCCTGTGAGAGCGAATGTGATTGGTCAGTGTGTAAGAAAGCTGGACATTAACTGGTTCGCAGCCCCATACGTTTGTGCACAAATCGCCTGGTTTGTTTGTTATCCATATCTGAATGTACTGCGAACATCAAAAAGGGTAATCAATTAAGTATAGATCAACAAAGAAACAAATCAATTAATTAAGACATAATTTCGCAAACAATTTTCAAACTGCCGTCACTCATACATCATCCATTTTTCTACTCCAGTTCCATTTTTTCGGGGGGGGGGGGGGCGGGGATTCTTTGCTGTCACAAAAATCAACAGAATATGAAGAACCTGTCATTAAGTTTGCCATTATTTACATACTTTGGATTGTCGGGGTTGTCAAGATCTGTGTTTACATAATATGACAGGACGTAAACTTTAATTATCTTAATATTCCGTCGCCTTGCAACGTGCTCCTTGTTTTTCTTTCGTTCATTATCTTTTCACCCTGCTTTGGAAAAAAAATATCTAACTTCACAAGCATTTTTACACACATATCATATACAACCCATTTTTTCAAATCATAATAAGAAACATAAACATCATAAACCCTCATCAATTTATAGGATTAAAATAAAACACTAAAATTAATTTTCATTGAATATAAACAAGGATTTGTGTTATAAAGAATAAAAAAGCAACACCATAGTCATTTTATTAAAAAGTTCTTGCTAGAAGAAAATTTACCACTTCTGTACCATCAACAAAGTGCTGAAGTTCTAAAGCATAAAGTGCTAAAGTACTAAAGTACAACGTGCTTAAGTACTAAAGCACAAAGGCTTTGACAAAGTGCTAAAATACTAAAGCACAAGGTACTGAAGTACTAAACAAGGTACTGAAGTACTAATCACTAAAGTACTACGCACAAAGTGCTAAAGTACTAAAGCACAAGGTACTGAAGCAGGCCGAAGTTCATTGTCAGTACCAGTACTCAACTCACTATGACCGAGAATACATTAGAAGTTTGTGGATATGAATTTTGAAAACTAGTACTTGTATCTACATCTCAATGCAGGCCAACTTTCTTAACGGTCAAGTACTACAGTAGGGTTACAAAAAAGTACTTGAGTTTGCAAAATCACAGAGTGATTCTCACTCTTTGGTCTGCAATTTTTCGAGAAAAACAAATGGTTTTGATTCCAAGAAGGTCGGATGTACGCTGGCAACGGTCGGCGAGTACTGGTCCTCAGGAAAGCAAGTAATAAATTGTATTAGTTGAAGTGTTGTTATACGGAAGTAGACATGGATCTCTATATGTTGCAATCCAATTTTCTCGTTACATTTGTTGTGTTCTGAATTCATGTGCAAAAATAATGTTTCACCACAGAAAATTCCGTTTTCGTAACTCCATTCTAATTCGACACCATGCTGGAAGCCTTACAACAGTACACAGCATTTTACACCACACGGTATCTTAGGCATAAATTGAATATAATTATTTATATATTCTTTTAGAACAATTGCGTAATATATTCATTTGTTTTTATATGTACAATTACACTACAAGTCAAGGTATTGTGTAGAAAATCTATTGTCTTTTTATAAATTTGTTCTTTGTACAATAAAATTTACAAGTGTGCAATCGGTTTTGTGGATTGATATTGCTGAAATACAATTAAATTCTGTCTGTCAAATTGTCGTCAAAAACCACAATATTGCAAAAGAGCAACAAATATCTAAAGCAAAAACACTACACAGAAATTACAACAGCGTTCCTTTAACACATGGGACGCTGACGGATTTTCTTTAAAAATGGAAAGAAGGGTCTGTTATATATTTTTAATTCTCTTATGTAGATGTAGTTTTGTCTATGAAGGATATTATTATATGGAAGAAACTCATCGTGCATAAAAACAAATTGTGGAACCTCGTTTTTGGTTTTATGTTACAGTGTAATTGTTTACAGTGTAAATAATTAGTTTAAAAAGCGCACCTGTTCTTGCTTAACCAAGTTAAATGAGGCCTAAACAGAAATTCAAAGTATCTTACGAGTGCTGGGCGACATGTAAATGTGTTGGCATGACTAAAGTTCAATATATATTTACGAAGTTAATCAATCAATGCTAAAGGAACGATTGTGGAAGAAGACGCATTCCTCCACCGTTTGCATAATTGTTTTTGAAGAAGAAAGACATTTTTTGTCCGACCAGAGCAGAACCACTATTTTTGCATGTCTGAGTCGATGGAGTTTCCAAATATTGATCCTTTACGACCAAACTAAGCCCATCGACAAGACGTAGGCTAAAGATAACTGGTCCTCCGCACAACTGGCTCACACTACCCTGTTTCACGTAGACTACACGCGTGCATCCACCGATTGCCTGCATCAGTAAGATACATGACAAGCAACGTCCAAATTCAAACATATCTCAACTTTTAACCTTGTACTTTTTGCCATCAACAGTCACAGGTCGTCCTGCTCAGCTCAGCAGAGACCGGTGAAGAGCTTGCCGGTGCACCTATACATCTGAACATCTAACAATGACAGCGCCTCCTTCCATAATGAAGAATATCCAAAGTCGGTGTTTACCAGTAGCGAATATAACTTAGTGACTGTTAATCATTCACTCATTATTGGTACCATAGGCTAGAACATTAACTCCGATTTCGGGACACATCTAGATTACTTAAAGTACAAAAAAATACGCAATAAATATCACTGGGGCCTGTCACTCGTTGAGACACTCTCGATTGGTGATAGCTCCTGCGTTTACACCTCCCGCCCGATTGGAAGCTTTCTCCAAGACGTCCACAAAAACTGAGGCTGCTACCTTGGTAGCCAAGACATTATCCAGGCTTTGTGATGTTTGAACGACATTCTACCTTGCATGTACTAAGAGAGATATTTCTCAAAATCCTAGACACGATATTGGATTTTTGATACTACATTGCTGCTTGCGAAGTGTGAATCTGTGCGGGATGAAATTCACCTCGCGATGCTCTGGGACGGTATATGTATACAAATGCAAATTATGGAAGACCTAGACTAAACTGAGCATACTGATCGGAACGTCGAGTCTCACAACCACCGGTTTTTTCAGAACCACACATCTTCTTAAAAGAGATTCATCCACATGGTGTTACCGAAAACCCTCACTAGTTTACACTACCACCATGCTGGCAAAGTTTCAAGTTTATTCATTGAATACAGTCAGCAATCACAGTTGCTCTCTGTGAAAGTGATCCAGACAGCGAACCTGCAGTCCTCACTGTTTGCTGCCCCCACTGTTCGCGGCAGGCTCTGGGTCTGCAATTTTCAAACGATCAAGATTCCCACGTCTCCTAGGAGGGTTTACAACGCTAAAAGAATCGGCGAGCTCCCTCCATAATTCTCCACTTTCTCACGTCTCCTAGGAATGCTTTATCTCTGCTGGTCCAAATCTAATGTAGTCTCCTTGTCGTGCTTTCCCTTCGTACAAACAAACACCGTAGGCCTAATCCACTGAGTCAACTGGCGTTTAAATTACAAACTGGCTAGTTTTGTCAAAACTGAGAGTCTGCCTCAGAGTCTGACGTCATCAAGCCACCGTTTCTGCCATTTGTATGGCCTGTCCGTTCATGCCCGGGGCTGGGTAGGGCGTGGTTGGGATGTACTTGTGCTCTATGACCGGTTTGCTGTTTCGCCTCTTGTTGCATCGGCAGGCGAACCTCAATTCCGCCATCATCTCGCCGCAAAGGGATTTCTGTAAGAAAAAAAGACAATTGAACAAGTCTTGCAAAACACGCACCTCGTTTGATAGCTCACTGACTATCATATTTGAAATTAGGTTCCAAAGTGCAGAGTAGAGCATTAGTATATCGAGGTCAAACACAAGCCAATTATCCAACTCGATGTCAAGCTACCTTTACTACTGAGAATATTTTTTTTCCAGTGACAAGCAGAAAATTTCTGTCCCAAAAATGCAATGCGATGGGAGGTTTTCGTGGTAGAGAACATAATTTTGGAGATGTTCCAAGATGTTGGGTGAGTTTGGCATAGTGGTTAGGGTTTGTGACTCATGATCAGACTGTCGGGGTTCGAATTCAGTTGCTGACCGAATGTTGTGTCCTTGGGTAAGCCACTTCACCCCACTAGCCTCTCTCCACCGGTAGTACAAAATGGGTACCGGCACTAGTTGATGAGTAACCTGCGATGGCCTGGCATCCCATCAATGGGAAAATAGGGAGTAGAAACATGCCAAAGAAACCGGAGATAAACGCCGGCCTAATGGGCCATGCATATTGGCTTGTGACGGACATACTTTTGACTTTTTCCAAGATCTTCCAAAACTGGTTCTTTCAGTTTAGTACCAGTCAAACTTACGCTGTCTAGTGTAGCATTTTGTCGCGATTTCCAGACGAACTCTGCCACAGCGGCCATCACCCCGGCCAGCAGCCCTGTGATGAGCACCAGGAAGATGCCGCCGATGTTCTTGACGCCCAGCTCGTTGGCGTCCTCCTTCTGGTTGAGGCTGGACTGGCAGTTGCTCGTCTTCCACCACTTCTGCTTGAGTTTGAGCAGCGTGTCGTCCTCCTGGAGACTCAGGATGGCCTTGGTGACCTCGTCCCGAAGGGCTGAACCTGTTGGGAATAGATGCACACGATTACAAAAGTTGACAGTGGCTATACTTGTTACGTCCAAAACTGGATTTGGATTTTAATACCGTAAAAGAGACCTTAAACTACTGAATACTGAAGGGCGACAGATTCTACTAATGGAGTCTACATTAGGGTGACACGCCTTATTAAGGCGACAAATTTGTGTCGCCCTTTTGTTAAAGTGACCCTTAGGACAAGGAAGTTTATCGTCGCAAACCATCTACATCGATTCCTCATGGTCCAAAACATACCTAAATCGAATTTCGTGGAGAATGGATTAAGGTAAACTTGGTTTAGGTGACATTTCTGTGTACAAGTCTATGGAAAAGTCGCCCTATAATAGCAATCAGTGAGATTGTTATTTTTATGAAAATTATGTTATTTTAATAATAATTGTTATTATTATTAATTATTTCTGGTAATGACACCAAATATTTCTCAAAAGCGCCCTGGGCTCTGTAACTCACAAGCCAGAAGAAACCTGTAGAGAGAAGACAATGAGACAAACTTCCAGTTTTAGAGGTGGGAGGAAAAGCCAAGAAGAATATTTTGGGGAAACCCATGGAATCAGGTAGGGACTGAAAACCCAATCCACATATTGGCCCAGGTGGGATTCGAACCCGGGTCGCAGCGGTGGAAGGCGAGGAAAGTATCACTACGCCAACCTGACATTGGGCTACAAGTCTGGAGATTATGGCACGAGTCAGCCACTCACCTAGCGGTGTACCGATGCCGTAGCCCCTTGAATTCAACAGCCCTCCAATGAGCGTCAGATTGTTGCAGTGCTGCGAGATGCGGTACTCCGCCGTGGTGGACTCCAAGAGAAAGGCGTAGTTCTTGGAGTTCAGGACTCTCTCGATCCCAGCGTCGTAGGTTTTCGAGAAGACGTGCGGTCGGGCACTCATGAACTCGTACATTGTTTGGTAGGTGGGGATTTTTGAGCGCTGGAAATGAAACGAGAAATTCAGGTTACACTCCTGCAAAGTTAAATTTGAGTTGATATGTATAACCCTTCAAGGTCAATGTTGTTTGAAAGGCTCTCTGTCCAAATCCACGATGGCATTCCAGACCTTTTGAGGCATGAAGATTTTTAAAAGCGTAGCTATCCATTCTAAAAATGAGTTTAAAGTTAGAGAATGTTATCTCATGTTCATGGGAACTGCTCCTACTAAACCAGGACAAAGTTGATGAACATTCGCTATTGTTTTAAGTTTTGGTAGCCTGTATTCAAAGTCTGAGAACCGCAGGAATTTCAACATGCCAAACCTAACAAGCTGAGTTTGTCAAGTTTGTCCGGGTCTTGTGGTAGCAGGTCTGCTACGCTGTATGCTGTGGAACCACCTTGGAACCTACTGCCATCAGATAGAGTTCGATTCCATGCTTTACTTACACTGAAAAATGTTTCCGTCGATCCGCCACTTCTTGTGCCGTACTCAATCTCAGTTTGCTTGGAGAGATCATCGGCACTGCTGATGGGAGACACCATCCTCTCCACAGTCAGGAAGGCAGCGAGGTTAGCGGTGTACGACGACACCAGGATGAGAGAGAAGAACCACCAGAAGCCGCTCAGGACCCTGGTGGAGAAAGCCCGGGGGTTGACCTCCGAGCCCTGCTGCATCAGCCCGCCGAAGGAGAACCATAAACAGTTGGTCAGATTGAACTGGTTCTCGACCTCGTCATACTCTGGGTTGCACGGGTGGGAGTTGTACCACTCGTAGGGGCTGAAACGGGCCAGGAGGAAGAGGGTGATGCTGACAAGGAAGAAGGCCAGGACCACATAGAGCCAGACGTCGAAGGAGAGGGGGTTGAGGAAGGAGAAGACGCCCGGGTTCTGGGGCTCCGGGCTGCGATACAGGATGGTGATGCCTAGATGCATGTAGGGCTTGGAGAAGTCCATGACCTGCTCTCTGCTGTAGGTGATGGTCAGTGGAGCCACAGCCAGATCAGCTTTCTGCAAAGTAAAACAAGACAAAGATAGTGCTCAAGTATTGGTACACAGAGAGAACAAACATCGTCCCCTGATGCCGCACGAAATATTCTGTGAACAAACCCTGTCAATTTATCTAATAATTACTGATCTGAATCTGTAAACTGGAGCCACAAGGTTCATTAGGTCATAGTAGAGTATGTTATATCAGACTTGCCTGAGGTCCTAAATGATACCAGAAAAAAACGTTGCAGCAGTATTGTCTTTTGAAACCTAAACATTTTGGTCAAGGTCTCTGTTTGTGACTGGTTGTGACTGGTTGTGACTGATTGTGACTGATTGTGACTGGTTGTGACTGGTTGTGACTGGTTGTGACTCAGCCGAAGCCCCACTGTGTAACTACTTGAAAGAATCCTGGTGCCCTTTCAAACTGTTTGACTGAGCTCACTCGAATTGTCGAACCAGGGGTTTTTTTTTGGCAGTCTTTCTTTCCTTGTAGCCACCACATCGACTGGCATTTAGCACTGTAGTTCAAGAACTAACTCCGTTTAGCCATACTCTTCTTCAAGAAAAAAAAACAATTTATACTTACCCTTTCAATTAGTTCCCCAACCATGCCGTTCCATCTTCCGGATTCCAACTTTGAGCCGTAGTTGTCGTCCTCCACCTCCACAATCTGGTAGTTGAAATGGAGGCGCTCAGAGATCTTCTGCAGCATGTCGATGCAGTAACCATAGTAGCGGGCATTACCAGTGACCGGGACTCCATCTTTGGTCTCCCTGAACATGACGTACGGCTGCTCCTAAAAGATTCGAACAGTTGATAAAATTTAACAGCACCGCTGAGACGAACGTATTTCAACGCATCCAGGTATTGCGAGAAGATGGGATTTGAAAGTTTGCATGCTGAAGTTAGCACGAAGAGCATGGGCGTCAATCCTGGGGGGCCAGGGGGACATGTCCCCCCCCCCCCCCCCCCCCCACTTTTTGAAGGATTGGGGACACAATATCAAATCCCCCCCCAGATTTTTGAACTCGTGTGTCTCATTTGCAGGGCCCTATTATGTACTACAATGTGTCTTTTGCCAAGAAAATATTGGTTAAAGTAGTCAGAAATTCCCTCAGATCGCACCACAGAGCATCTAGAATCCAAATTTCTTCGGGGCCCTTAAGTGGGCCCCAAACCCCACACTTTTGGCTCAGAGAAGCTGATTCAATGACTCCAACCTCGATAGATGATGTTTAAATGATTATTTTTGGATGTTTAAATGATTATTTTTTGCTTTTAAGATTAAAGTGTTCAGAAATTGCCTCAGATCGCACAACAGAGAGCGTCTAGCTTCAACTTTTTTCGGGGCCCTTAAAGCGGGCCCTGAACCCGACGCTGTAACCCTTCGCGCTCGCATTAGTTCTTATCAAGGTATGTCCCCCCACTTTTGAGAAGTGATTGACGCCCCTGATGAAGAGTAAACGTACGGTTGCACGTTGTGAAAGGGGACCCAATCGAGCATAATATCCGAAACATGAGGAATCTCCCCGGCTCTTCACAGAATGGCACAAACTCACAAAAAAGATTTCCCTTCACATGGTGCACACACAAACTTATTCTTACTCATAATATAAACTTCCCATTCCATTGATATTTTGACGTGACTGTTCGCTTGTTGTATGCTTTATAAGTTTACTTTTTTTTTCTGGACTTCATGAGGCATTCAGGTACAATATTGCCAACAGCTTAAAGATACAAGATAACAAGACAGCTCAAGAGGTTTATCAAACACAAGTTGTCTTTCCCGCAGGTTCAACATCCCTCACTGTTCCCACTCGATCAAATTCCACATTCAGAAAAAAACAACAGGTGCTTTGACAGTTAAGAACACCTGTCTGGAATTAAGACAATTCATCCATGCATTCGGGGTTCTAAAGGGAAAGACTACTTCTAGCCAAGGGCACAGATCTGCCCGATCGCAAACCTCCTGGGGTTTGGACGTGAACGTCTTAGGATTCCGATGTCTTTAGCATGGATCACAGGTAACTTTTACCTACCCTTATAGTTGTAACAATCAGTGTTCTGTTGATGAAGGAGGAAGGGTCTGTAATGATGGTTTCATCTCGAGGCTTCATGTACAGTTGCCTTGACGTGTTCCAGAAGCCTCTCTGCAAAGTGAAGTCCAAGGTTCGTGGTTTATTAATTTGCACAGTATCAAAATCAATCAATAATAGAAAACAGTTTCAAATAATACAACAACCTACATATACTATAGAAAGTGAATGTTTTGAAGATACTGCAGAGAGGCCATTAAGAAGCAAACAGATAAAATTGTATGATAAAACGTATACTTTTTTTCACGTAATCTTTTCTCTATCCACAACAGAGAAATTTAAACGCCCTACGGGTTAGTCTTATCGCTGGTTTCTAGATAAAAAAATGCTTTTAGAATACCTGTTCCAATCCGTTTGTATCAGTCAGTTCAGAGATAAATATCGTTGGGTTCTCCCGTTCCCCGAAGGCGCTGAAGTTGACGTCACCAGTCAGGCCGTTCTTCAAGTTCACCTGGAAACACACCAAGAAAAGTGCACCGTGCAATTATGAGCACGGGGATGCATGTTGTGCAGTCAGCAATAAATTCTGGGTTTTGAATGTTCTTCTGCGGAGTGAGACATTGACCAGAGTTGAAATATGACCATGTTTTGTTATTGGTTTTAAAGTGGACTTGTGTCTTTGATTGTACAGTGGTGGATCAGAGGTTTAGTCGTTTCAATTCTCCAAGCCGAATTTGTCTTTCAGTATTCCCCAAGGATGATGCTGGAGACGGAATGTAGGTTTCAAAACAAAACCAGGAAAACATCCCTCAGTTAATCCATTTCAGAGGCGTTCCTTTGCCACCCATTCACTAACCCCAAACAATGTTTCAAACCTGGACTTCGGCTCTGGCTTCGTCTCTGGATGAGGCGAAGTCGGAGAAAAAGCCGAGGTTTGGAAACCCATCCCTGGATTCGCCCCTCTTAAAGAACAGCATCCGTTGCCCAAGTGCCCGACTTGGAATTCACCCAATTACCAACAAAACTTAAACGTTTGCATGGGCTATATTATTTATTGAATGTGGGCGTCTTAAAAAAAATGCAATTTGGCGCAGAAAGACAAAATAAATCTCGCTTATTTAGCTTTACTGAAAGGGGCCATGCAATGTAATATTTAATGAAATCCTAGAATCCTTTTATGCAACTGCAACTTTCCATATTCATGAGCAAATTTCATTTCAGGCAGAAACCGGCCTGTTATAGCTATTTCAGCAGCCCCATCCGTTCAAGAATAAGGCCTACTGCTCTTACGCTATTCAGGTAGTTGAAGAAGGAATATTTACGTAGGTTATTTTCGTAAGTTTATACACATTACAATGTGGCATTGTTGCCCCGCCCCATTCGTTCAAGAATAAGGCATATTGCTCTTACGCTTTTCAAGTAGTTGAAGAATGACAGCCCGTAGTCCCACACGCTAGGACTATGAGGCCGTTTGTCGAAGCAGGAAAGACGTTGGAGAGTCATATTGCGACCGATGCCCATCGTCAGCGCTTGGGCCATGACGTTCACTGCATCAATCACCAGCGATGCTTCCGTCTATTCATACCATGGGGAACAAAACACCAAAGCAACTTTCAAATGGCTGCACAACAATTATATTCAATCGATTCACTCAGAGTAGCTTAATTCAAAACCTAACCCTCCCAAATCCTCCAACATCTTCTTTGCAAAATAAAGGATTTTGCAAGATTGAGGCTATATGGCAAAAATGTGTGGCTGATTTTGGAGGATGCACTGTGTCAAGGTCTTGGGCCGGACCTTGTGTTGTTTATGCTCAGCTGTGCATAAATTTATAGGCCTAGATTACACTTGAGATTCTCCTCACTGCTCCAGGATGTCACCGGCTCTGCCTCCACATATTGACGGTGATTGTCGGGGGATTTTGCAGGATTGAGGCCACCCCGCCTCCAAGTACCACATTCAAAAAATAACGGAGGATTTTGCAGGATTCAGGCTATATGCAATATTTTACATGGAGGCAGTTGGAGGATTTTGCAGGATTGAGGTTACATCCTAGCAAAATTGCCTTGGAAGTTACACTGGAAGTCTTTCTCATGCATCAGTCCACACAATGCGCCGGGTGTAGCACATCCATTGGTGTTGCGGGGTGATATCCTATACGATAAAACTGCCCGGCTCACAATTGGCAGTCAGTCAGTGAGTCAGAGAATCAGGTGAAGAGAGGACCATAGGCAGGCCCTCTCGGATCAGAAAAGCAGTTTTCAAGTCAAATTGTTTTTTTCGATCTTACCGTCAAGCCTTTATCCATCGGGTGGGCATCGGTTCCGCGGAACCTCGCCCGCCACTCCACGGCGACTCGATGGAACTGCGCGCTTTCCCTGTCGTGAAGATGGACGGCCGTGATGTTCACCCCGTCCCCGTTATATCGGGACATGTTTAGGAGGGCGACGTCCTGTTCAAGACAAAAACAAGGAAAGCAATGAATTGTAGCAAACAACGCAAGCGGGATAACAAGGGGAACCCCACCCAAGCAGTCATGTTGAATGGTCTTCCAGTCACTGCCTGATTCACCTTTGTTTCTTTGTTTTCATGTCACGCAGGTGCTTTAATTAGAGCGGAGAACTGAACGTTAATTCCTTTCCTTACGGTATTACTCTTCGAAGGTATTTTTACCCGTGCATTTTGTTAACAAATCACTCAGTGGAGTGGCTTATCCATCTGAGGGGGAACCCTGCTCAGTAACCATTATGAGAACGAAAAGAATTTGGACCACTTAATCAGACAAAGTTACAAATTTTGCCCCCCCCCCACCGCGACTCAAAAAGAAAAAAAAACACTACTGATTGCTATCAGCTCTTTTAATACTCCTTAGTTAATTTCAAACTCATTTGAGACAAGTATCAACAATGCGCCTGTATGGCGGTGAATTCCTGCCAGAATTTTTTTTTAAGGAAAATCAAATTGAAACAACATCGTAAATAAACGTAGGCTCACGGATTCAAAACTGTGCAGTTTCTTACCATTGAGGTGAATAAGTAATGATAATAACTTCGCAACATCTGCATCTCCATAATCTACAAAAAAGAGACAGAAGAAAAAGATGGGTTCCATTTAATCGGTACATATGCAAATGTAAAAAGATCTGCAACCGACCTTCAGACACAATGTAAAGAGATCTGCAACGGACCTTCAAACACAACTCTTATTTCCCGAAATCAAATTCCCAATTTCGCGCATGTATACTCGCTGCAAAAATATTTACATTCTCCTGTTGCAAATAAGCCATTTAAACATGAAATACCAGACGCACCCTTTAACGGAAATAATAACATCTAGCAATTACACACAGCCCAGTATTTATTTATTTTATCAAGCAACAAATCTCCAATTGATAATTGGATAATCTTTTTGTTTTGGAATTCCCGTAGTGACGAGGAGGAACAGACCAAAGAGCAAGACTATAAAAAAAGACCGCCATATTTCGCTCTCCGCGGCTGCAGACTTGGAATTTTTGTAACAACTCCTTCCCTTCAATTTTTGATTGACAAGCACTGGTGTAGAACCGTGTTCTGCCACCCAGAAACACTTGCATGTTATCAACAAGCAGAAGCTTTTTATCTCCGAAATTCTATCTTTAAAATTCCTTCGCGGATGTGGACTAGTCCAATAATTCCTCCGGAGATAAGACGCGGATGTCGACTGGTCCAATTTTCTTTCCAAACGAAGTATGTCACGAAAAGGCATATTTGTACGTTAAAGATGTAGGCCTACACATTTGATCTATTTCTCCTCTCAAATTTGAAAGTTGCATGTTTTAATTTAACAACAGGGAAAACATGAGGGGGGGGGTGGGGGAGTTGACAACCCATTGAAATACGAGGCTTTTAATCTGGGTTGCTTTCCCGCATAAACAGATACGCGAGTATACAGGGTGAGTCCAAATAAAGGAAATCCAAATGTCGGGACTATTTTTTTAATGAAGTTCTGCCTGTGACACTTTCAAAATCTAGGATATGAAAGCCCAATTAATAAGCTTTCCTATAGTACAAGAATCATTCAAATCACACATAGCTTTCACTATAAAGGAGGAATCGATTCATTTTATCAAAATGTTTGCTGAAATACGGTGCAAGAAAATTGACTTATAAAGAGATGTATTTTTTTTGTTTTTAAATTTTAGTCCTTCTCTAAACGTATTCCAGAAATTTCAAAGGAAAGCTGTCAAATCGACGTTTTGAGAGGCAACCGTATGAGACATAATTGTATTATGTTACCTTGCGTACTTCAGTTTTGATATTTTATGAATTCGAAAATTTGTTCTTATTGTCAACCCGAAATGTGATTTTGATTCTTGTTTTGTTCGCCGAAAATAGGCGTATACGCTTGATGATGTAACAGATGCTGCATTGAGTTGGTCTATCTCGGCTCCGTTGCAATCGAAAAGACATTGCGTTTAATTACTCCCCAACCAAATCAGTATCAAATTAGGCCTACTGGATTTATTAAATTATTGGAGCTAGTCATCACTGAAAAAGAAATCCTGGCATTGATGTTCTGTTGAGAATTACTCGGGCACATTAGTGCGTAGAGCTCATTACATTGTGGAGCATGCACCATCAATAGCGCCATTTAATTGGGTTTTTAATGTGCTTTCAGCCTCCCACGTGCGTCTACATTAATTGGTGTTTTGTGTAATTACGGCCACTCTACTGAAAAGTTTGGTTTCCAACACTGGTGCGCTGAAACCTCTTCCCTTTGTGTCTTTTCTATTAAAACACGCTTGAAAGTTACCAACTGAAATTAGATTAAATTTATTTTTATGTTTTTATTTCATTGCACAAAACAATGTTTTTTTGTTTGTTTAAATGATGTGCTCTTTCACGCAATGCAGACAAGAGGAACATATCTTTCCGTTTAAAGATGTTGAAACAATTAAAGTATAATGAAATAATCAGATAACTAATCCAGCCTGCTATTCGAGCTTGCAAACGATTGTCTAAAAATCGTCTAAAAATCCCCCCCTCCCCCGCAAATTGATTTTTGGAGCTGTCCTGTATAAACTCATAACAAATATCACCTCGGCGTTTGATCTCAAATACTTGAAGAGTTGTTTAGGCCTACATTGAGATGATTTTTATCCAAGATTTACATTTTGGACGAAAACCCTCGTAACGTTTTTGTGTGCAACTTACTGCAACCAAGAATTGTTTAAAAGCGAAGATTCACAGATTATTTTTTTTTATTCGATGTCGGCAGTATAATAAGGTGAAGATTGATAGGCCCACTCAGAAGCCATGTTCCTGTCAGTAGAAGACCGACGACTCAATTAGCAATAAACTCCCCCTGATATTTACAGCTGGAAAGGTCACCGTAACTGTAGTGTACAAAAAAACTCCCACTTCTTCTTCAAAAAACCAGCCTTCTGGCCCGAAGCAACTCTTCAGTCACATTTTTGAAAGACTCGTCGTGTTTTCATTCAAATTTGCGATTGTCGGCGTAGGGGACATTTCTTATAGAATCAGCCAAGATCAATTTCGTTCACGGTTGTGACATTCAAAGGGAGAGATGGTGTTATCCAACCGAATTGTGATTGTTGTCCCTATAGGGGAAGTCTCAACAGGCAAAGGAAGTGGGTACCGTAGTTCAAATCGTCAACTTCAGTTTATTTTAGTAAGACATGGATTTTTTTTGCAGGGGCATGGTGCGAACATAAGTGGACACATTATTTTGGAAAGGAATTATTGAAGTGTTAACACTTAGCCGATAGCGCTCTTATGCCGGAAAAACATTCTTGAAATGTCATGCTTACGCCAAGGGACATGAATTTGCAGATGAACTCTCAAGAATCGGTCAATATCCGATTGAACATATCTATGACGTTTCCGAAACTTCGCCCTCTTCTTAAACTTCGGCTTTGATTGATATTTCCTCCCTGTTTTTGAGAACTTACTACTGGCTCAATAGGTACATTTCATGCTTCAGAAACACCATCACATGGGATAACATTGAAGAGTAAAGTATATGCATTCTTATGGATATGAATGCTTCAAAATTATTTCGAAGGCGGAGATATATAAAACCAATGAAACCGGAGACTAAACCAAAGTTTTGAAAACACGACTCTCGGACAGTCTCGTTCCTAGTACCTGCTCCAGGAGTGGATACAGCGTCTCGCTCCGGCAGTCAATGATGATGTGTCTGGCTCCGGACGTCTTGATCTCCTTCAGCAGGTCCCGCATGTCCGGCCTGGACGGGATGCGGTAGACAGTGACCTTGATCTTCATGGGCTCTGCCGAGGCGTGTAGGACCTCCTGTAAACGCGTCAGCGCTGACGAGTTAAAAACAAGACGAGAATTTAGTTATAACCCTCAAAACCTTTTGCCTTAAAAGGTGGGCGTCAATGTGTAACTGAAGGTGAACGTCTTAGCTCAAGCGAAATGTCAACAGATGTCTTCTTTGTTTTAAATTATCCGTTTGCTCCTTTCTCGTTAAAACAAGGTTAAAAACAAGGTTAAAAATAAGGTTTGAATGGTGGAGTACACAACAAGTGTATACATTTGTAGATACAAAAATGTGACTAGAAATAGCTTCTAAGACGGAATTTTATGAATTGTAAATTCATAAAATTCATTGAATACAAATCTCTTTTGTAAGCTTGTTTCATTCTGAATACAACTGCGGTTTTGAAATTGTGAAGTTTTTTTTATATCCGTCATCGCATCCCCAGTGACCAATGGTTTTTGTTGTTGGTGAATTTAATATATAAAAAGGTCAAGTGTCTCACTTTATTTACCATGCTGATATTTTTTTCTGTGTATGCTTATAAAAAGCCCTACTTGTGATTAATGGTCGTGATTTTGTTGTACATTATTACTTATGTGGCTAGATATGTGACAGAGAGAACCCCATCTTCTGTGTTTGTCATTGTGTTATCAGAATCTCAGGAATTCTTTTGTGATATCTGGGCGGGGGGGGGGGGGGGTGCTATGTAGCAATGGTCTAGGGTGTGTATACTACATTTGGATGACTTGTCTAATATATGTGATTTAATAATAATCTCAAAATGGCCACTGAAAAATCTGACACAAGTTGCGTTCCAAAATGATATTCGTTAAGAAACGATTTCAAAATCTCACGCACTTTCCCTGTCTTTGTGATGTTCAACAACTGTGTATATAGAGCCCATATTACCGTATATGAATATTTACATGTAACTAGCCAAGTCATCCAAATGGCGTTGATTGGGATGACGTCACTGAGAAATAATATTTCACACCCTCTGCTGCCACCAAGCGCCAGAAGAAAGACATTTCCTTACCGGCATCTTCCTCGTACACGATCGTGATAGTCGTCCAGTGGTAGTAGAAGACGATATCCTTGATGACCATGCTGATGTGCTTGTTGCTGGGATGGAGGTTGATGGAGGTCTTCAGACTGTCGCGCGGTTCGTGCTCCCACCTCGTTTCCACGAAGGGGATTTCCATGGTCCTGCAGACCGATCCCACAGCTGTGGCGCTCTCCTGCGAGGCAGGGCCAAAGATGGCGGCAACTCCCTTGGACAACTGTCGACAAACTGTTGGTCAGAAAAAAGTAGTGAGACAATTCAAGAAACCAGTTTTAAACTGCTTGGGCATACACTGGGTAAATAAATGTAATAAATAAATACATCAATCAGTATCGACGATATCATTATTTATAAACGGTACCAGTATCGAATAGTTTACATAGTTTATAGTATTGAAATACATACATGGCAATAAAAGAATACATTTATTCAGATAATATCATTAATAACGAATCGATACCAGTATCGAATAATGAATTATTATTCGATACCAGTAGCGGTACAAGTATCGAATAACAGTATCGAGTTTGATAAAGAAATGCATTAATTTTAATTGTACAACTAGCCCGTATATCATCATTTCTAAACCCCTGTGATTTCCCCAAGAGGCAGGTGCCGATGAACCCCAGACGCTGGTCTTCCCGCCTCCGCCAGGGTAGGCTTATCGGGATTACCGAGTGTTCCCGAGAGAATCCTAGAAACGTGGGTAATTGGCGCTCAGATGCGCGGGGAAACCACCCCATCCCACCATGCCGTTTCGTGAGGTAGCTTAAAGAGATGATCTCACGGGAAATGACGATATTTCTACTGCGTAAGATGTGATTTTGCCTTCCTTAGCAACTCGTATTAAGCAGGCTCCTATTACATTAGTTAAATTAGAATTTTGAGACGATGTATTTTCCTTGAGGGGAAATTTGACGTGTGACTGCCCCTTTAAGCGCGGTGCTCGCCGACAGAGAGCACCAGATGAAAGGAAAACATGGGAGGCGGCTTTACATGGATCAATGGCACTTATGGGTGGATCATATCAAATCGAAGCCAAGGCAATTAAAGTGATAATCGTTTACCACGAAATGATGGTCGCCCATTTTATAAAAACAATATGACTAATTTTGGATTTCCTTTAATGGCATGCTAAACTGTTAATATGCCAAATGCTGGAGGTCAAGTCAATAAAAAAAGTATGCAAAAATATACGAACTGTACCTTATGCCTGTGCAGTGCATTATATTGTCCAGTAGTATTTGGTCTTTAATTTAAGTCGCTAACTTTGTCCAAAACTTTCCAACTGTTGTGTTTGTGTTACATAATTGTTTCAATCATCATTCAAACAAACACTTTTTTTTTTAACAATAACGTCACCATGAGCTAATAGCATGTCTTTTATGTCAAAAAGATACTGTTCACAGTGAGAACAATGCTTGTTATAATGTGTAGTATTGATTTCATTTCGAAATGCAAAACATCAACAATGTTGTGTTCCCTTTGCAATGTACAACGATCTTGTGTAAGACAGGTTCCTCGTAGAATTTACACTGCCCCACATGGTTCAACAGTGTAAAGATGTCCCTCCATGTCTCCATGTTCTCCTATACCGAGTCAATATTGTTCCACGCGTCGAAACAGAATACTGAAAGTAAAAGGACACCCTATTTGACATTTCAGCTGCTGATATGCCTTTACAAAAAAATCTTGAGAAATATGCTCAATAGCGAGAGTAACACGGAAGCATTCTTCGCGAGATATCTTGCGGTGCATCGCCTTATCGCTTATCTTTTTGCAAATTTGATTCTGTATAGGTAATTTACAACATTTGCAAACGTCACAAAAAAAAACAAAAAAAAAACTACCAAATTATATTGAAACACCTTACTGGACTGTAAGTGAATAATAGTCCCAAGCATCCTGTGAATTCACGGCATCTGGTGTGCTGTCATTTTCAAGAAAAGTGGAATTTTAGTATCAATTTCCAACGATGGTGGGCCGATCATCATTGGAATAACTGCTCCCAATTTGGCAAATTTCATTAGTCCACATTTTGTTTGCAATCGGTTTACACATCTGTGAACGGTTGCAAGCCAGCTAGTCTGGTTCCCTGACCTGACAATTCCCGACATCTAAATTACTAGATTGCATGTTGGATTATCTGCAAGTTGTAGATTACAGATTATTTTTTGTTTACTTCCAATTTATTTTGCCATCTTAACATGCTATCCGTAGTCTGTGGGTAATTCTGCAGGTTGTGGGTTCGAGTCCAGCCTGGGGTCACGGTGCGTGTGCCCTTGAGGGAGGCACCTTGTCACTCATTGCTTCTCCCACCCAGAAGTAAAATGGGTACTCGACATATAGAAATAATTATTGTGACAGATTTTAGCTGCTTTGCGCCGAAATGGCTGCATCGAGCTGTATACTCCCCAGGGAGCTGAGATGGTATTTTGAATGTTTCATTGGCCCAATGAGCAGGGTAATAATGATGTAGCGCATTGAACATCAATACTGGTGGATACGTGCGCTTTATATATACCACATTATTGCTGTTAATGTACCCTTTCAGAAGACATTTTGTTCGTCATACGTTATACCTTAGGAGACACCGAACATTAGGGAGACATTTCAATGTCTCCCTCATGTCACAACTCCTATTCAGAGGCAAACTTTTACCGTCGCAAATTTGCTTAATCGATTGCCAGTGGTTGAAAAAATCAATGTACCAACATTCGTGGGGGTTGGATAAGGTAAAATATGGGTTAGGGGCCACTAAATTTGGGGAAAAAATTACACAATAGTATGGGAGTGTCTCTTTAAGGTATTCTTTCCCGTAATTAATATTAGTATTATATTGACATTTTTTTGAGGTTGGGGCGATAGTTTTGTTGTTATTATTGCTATAAAAGGGTGACACATCTCAATAGGGCGACAGTAGTACCATCCCCCGATTCTTGGAACCGCCATTTTGACTTGGGCTCGGGCTGTAGGCTAGGGTTATAGAGCTAGGGCTAGGGTAAATTTTTTTGCACAAGTCTATGGAAGTGTCGACCTATTGTGGTTGTTATTACTATCGCAAATTATATACCATTTGGGAGACACTTAACTTGGGAGTTTTACTTTTGGGAGACATGTGGAATTAAGGAGACAATATCTCCCGAATACCTCAGCTCATTATTTAGAAGCAACATTTTGGTGTCGCAAATAGGCTAGATCGATTGCTCATGGGCCAATTAGAAAAAAATTTACCGAAATTCGTGGGGGTAGGATAAGGCAAATTGGGGTTAGGGGTCAGGAAAGTCGGATTATTATTTGTGCGCAAGTCTATTGGAAAGTTGCCTTATTATAGCATTCAGTGAGATTATTGTTATTATTATGATCATTATTATTATCCAATTACTACATGGAGAGATACCAAATATTTTAAAGGCAGCGTTTGGATTTTACTTAACTTAACTGGATTTCTTTCAATTCTGTTCAGCGGTATTTAGATACACGTGATGCAAAAGCAGGTTGCGTACATGGACTTACTATACTACAAAAGTAGGTTGCTTGTTTTAACCTACTGAGTCTCCGACTGAAAGTTTCCTAAGGGAAAACTGAGGCAATCCGCTCACATAAGCCGACGTCATGGCACATTAGACCTACTTTGTAGCGACATGGCTTGCCATCATTACTCGCTCCAGTGTGCTTTTATCTCAACGCGATTTTATGACACGGGCATGTGAATCTAGTCCAATTAGATGCATGTGTCAACACCAAGATGATGAACTCCAACAAATGTATTTTTTTTCACACAGACTTGAAGCACACGGGGAATACGAGTTGGTATAATTCGAAGCTGTCGAAGATAAGGCACGGTATTAGCAGCCCCCAGAGGCCAATCTAGTGTTCTCTTTGTACCTATCTAACTGATTGACTGACTCACTTGTGAGCCGGGCAGTGCTATCGTATAGGGTTACCCCGTAACGTCAAAAAAACAAGCCCATTGTGTAGATCAGATGTGTATTAAGACTTCCATATAAAGGGACTCTATACTATCAAAACATGTATTAAAATTTGGTTGGTTAAAAAGTTGGTTTATATTTTAACCAACGATGTGTACATTTCTCAAATTTGACCAATGTTAAGTACATTTTACGCAACGTTGGGTACATTTTAACCAAGGTTGGGTACATTTTAACCAACGTTGGGTAAAGTTGGTTAATTTTTTTTTCACCAATTTTTTTAACCAACTGTTGTGTGGTTGTAATCGTTTTAATCAACCGTTGTAACCAACGATTGATTCAAACGAGTAATTTTACCCAACGTTGGTTAAATTAGGTTACATTTCATCACCGTTGGGTAAAAGGACTTTTACCGACCGGTGGTTACCAGGTGAACCACCCAACAGTTGGTTAAAAAAATGGTTAAAAAAATAACCAAATTTATCCAACATTGGGTATAACGCACCCAACATTTGTCAAAGTGGAGAATTTTACTCATTGCTGGTTAAAATCTTAACCAACGAAATGTTAATCATGTTTTGAGAGTGTACGTTTTACTCGAAGATCGTCACAATCGTTTTCGATTGAGTTGTCGATCCGTTAAACATTGCCATCCTTGTTATGACATTACCCATTCGTCTCAAATTCTCCTCGAGTGCATTTTTTGGTAACGAGTCCAAACGATACGGCCATTTAGTCCCATGATATATAGCCGCGTTTATTTGCCTTTAATCATGAAATATCGCCCACTTTCGGCATGGCTTGATGAAGATAAATGGATGCTCCCTGGCTGGTTATTAAACTCAGCGGTTCTAAGTAAACCGCATGCACCAGCAGGTCTTTTCCGGGTGAGCACTGCCTATCGCGGCGTTTGTAACAAATTTGACGGCGTCTGGGAGCAAGACCTCCTGGTCTTCCATGCATGTTGCTATGGTCAGTGGCACTGTGGAATGTGAACGCGTCATTGATGCATTGTCGATCTCTCAGGATGTAATTAAACTTCGGTCCCACTCCAATTTAGTCTACAGATGCACAACTAGCACGCAGATGTACGTCCATTATGACACAGCGAATACTCTATATATATTTTACGACCTATTGAGTTTCACAAAAAGTGGAATTAGGGAACATAGTTGTTCAACGGCGTGACGATTAGAAACGCTTTGTTTTTAAAGAAAGCAACCAAATTCGTGCCCAATTTATGAGAGAGTTCATGTGCTCTATAACATGGACATTTATCAAGGATTGAAACAAAAC